CTTACTGATGTAGGTGGACTAGGTAGGCGTCGCTATCAGCTGTTTAGCGAAACGGTACTACAGAGAAAAGCTCATCATATTTACCTTTCTTGAGGCTCTTTTGATACGGTTGACCCCTCACGACGCAACCAAAAGTCAATGCTGGTTTTTTGCTGCTTCTCGTATATGTCTGAAAAAACCATGGCGCAGCCTTTGAGAGCCGACCGGATTGTTACCACTTCGTTTAGCGGATCGATCGGATATCCATCCCTGCAAATCCCAGGATAAGCCGTTATTAGTAGGAGTATGAGGGCAGAGCCCGCGAATTTGGCCACATGACTTTGGCTGTTGCTGACTAGATCATTTCTTAGACCCGCGGAGGCTCGCGTTTGATAGATCAAAGCGATCTGTGCCCAATAGGATAGTTTATCAGCTTCGAGAAAAGCGAGGTGGAGCGCTGCAACGGCTAAAAGGCCCTCCATCACATAGTCGTCGGCAGTTGCTATTTGGGGAAGTTCGAATTGCCAAAACCGCAGATCTACATCGTCGCATGCTAGCGACGGTGCCGTGATCACTGAGAAATGATGTAGAAGTCGCATTTCCTGCAATCTTGGGACCCGCGAGAGTCCAGGAGTGCATGAGGTACCCTGTTGAGGTGTTTTATCATCTCCTGTAGCATCTGACAAGGCCTTTCTTGGTGGTTCAGGACAGATATATATGCATTCCAACCCTCGCTTCACACATAGGCTGCAAGATGGCTGTCCTTCGTCGCACTATTTATCGTTGTGTCAGACATGTATTAGGCACAGATTATATATAAACTTCGTTCCCAACAAGTATAACTATAGTTACCTTGACATGGGAGCGCTTGCACGGCATACAGCCATGCCGGGACTTTTTATGCGATCGACGCGGGTATGTAAGAAGATGCATAAGACACGACCCTTATGAATAGCGCACCAAATGCAGTTGGGGGGGTACAGGTTTGAATTGGCAGATGGAATACGCAATACGTTGTGGAGATGGGCGATTAAAGATTTGAGGGCAGTTAAAACAATCGGCGAGCCAAGACGCCACCCGCACCCGGAATACGGAATACGTAGTGGGCCTTCGAACAAATGCTGCTTGATTCGATTAACTCAAAATGTGGAAGCCGAATACGGTGTGGGTCACACTGTCAATGCCCACCAATCCCGCTCCTTTTCGTGAAGCTGAATGCTGAGGATTTCTATAACTAAACATGCGCAGAAGCAACAAGCACTGCCTTAATTGGCTCCCTGTAGCTGCCCATTTCTAGTAAAATGAGGCTCTAGCTCTGCTACTCTGAGATTCCACTGAATGCGAAAACTCAATCTTGTTGCCTGTAGAATCTGGATTATATCCTCCATGACTATATAAGAAGGGGCCGAGAGCCCCAGTAGCATCATATATCTCAATAACTACCTTCGAACCGGCCAATTATATCTCGTCTAAATGTCCTCTGATTCCTCAAACTTGTATGGTGATTATGTACCGTCTAATGTTGCAGCAATTGTGCTTGCCGTTATATTTCTTATCCTCACTGTGTTGCATATATGGAAAATCATCACAACTCGACATTGGTTCGCCTTGGCTACTGTGACTGGCGGTATCTGTACGTGTTGCGAACCAACGAAAGAGATTACACTAATAATTTGATAGTCGAAGTGATCGGTCTTGCGGCGCGAGCCGTCTCTCACCATGACTTATCCTCCAAGGCTCCATATATTGTTCAAGTCCTGCTCATCCTTCTCGCTCCTGTTATCTTCTCCGCCTCTATCTACATGTTCCTCGGACGCTTGATACGCGCATCAGGGTACCCTCAACTGTCGTTCATTCGGATAAACTGGTTGACGAAGATCTTCGTTTGCGGTGACATATTGTGCTTTTTCGTCCAAGCCGGCGGGGCCAGTAAGCTCGTGAACGCCAAAACTTCGACTGAAATATCATCGGCACAGAACACTGTCCTTGGCGGCCTCGGTCTCCAAGTTTTTTGTTTCTGCATCTTCATGCTTTGCGCTGTGGTCTTCCATGTTCGCGTCTCTAGGCGCCATATTGCGAGCAACATCGACCCATCACTCCGTTTAAGCACGATGCTTTTCTCGCTGTATTTTTGCAGCCTTTGCATTGTCGTCCGCAATATCTATCGTCTTATTGAGTATCAGGCCGGAGAATCGGGATATCTGCAGACGCATGAATGGCCTTCTTACGCCCTCGACGTTGCACTCATGGCTCTTCTGATGATGACCAGTTTGATTTGGTATTTTGCGGACACCAAGGCCAATGGCCCTGCATCGTACCCATTGAACAGTTGCGGTGAAGACGCTTGAGTGGCTATTGTATCCTTTGTTGAGTTGCGGGATATCGTGAGCATATGTACAGCTGGGGAGTTTGTAGTTTCATGCTTCCGTGTCTCATCAATATCTACTAGAAACATTATTAGACCACAGCAGGGATTCGCAATTTATCAATTTTGGGCCCCTCCACTGATACGTACCAACACCTATAAAAATGCATGACGGATGCTCGTGTTGTTACTCGCTACTGGAGCCAGGACAACATGTCTCGTGTGAGGACTCTGGACTCCTTAGTGAATACAGTAACGGCTTCACAGAATTCGTAGAAATCTCTGTCTTACAGTGGCCATTGAAATGAGCCTGCCCTTTCTCCCAGTTCTAATAATGTTGTCAACGCTGCTAGACTAAGTAGAAATAAACTGTTCTTGGTTTATATGCTCTAAGATAAGATACTCAAACGAAACAATAGTCAGTCAGCCGAGTCTGTAAAGCTTTCATACATCAGGTTCCATTCCCCCACTCGCGGATCAAGGAGGCACTCCCCTTGAGAGAGCTGTAAAATGGGGAAGGCTCTATAGTATTTATACTATATATTTATTCATTTCTCTTTCAGTATTAAATGGATTCCAAAAGGAACATATAGTGTGAAGAGATATACATATTGTTGGTAAGGTTTATTCATCTCTAACGGAACGTAAATTTATGAAGTTAAGAGAACCCACTTCACTACCGGATAAGCAACCTCGTATACAAAAATGGACGGATTGATAAAATTTCTCTGAATCTGTTGCTTATGAAGATGTTTTCTCTTAATTTAGAAGGGTATCCGAAGCCATCCTTTGTTTACCCTTCCGCATAATCAACATCCCGAGTATTACCACATGACTATCTATATCTGCTCTTCGAGCAAAGCTTATATATCTTAGATTATACAGTGCGTATACATCGCAAATGCTTGCCTCAGAGCACTAGCGCTTCTCAGCTGTCCGGACATCGGAAACGATAACATCGGAGATCTTCTCGGCCAGCATGTCTGCGACGATTAGCTTGACACAAGCAAAAGGTCACACGTTACGACTACTTACACACTACTGACTGCGGGTGTCCTGGAGGAAGAAGCGGGAAGGCACTCGCATCGACAACACGCAAGCCATCAACCCCGATCACCCTGGCTTGAGAATCCACAACTGCCATTGCATCCTTTGCTGTCCCCATCTTACAAGTGCAAGCGGGATGCCAGATGGTCATCATGTTATCTTTGACAAACTCCAGGATTTCTGCATTGGACTGCACGCGGTTACCTGGATAGTACTCATCTCCGATTAGTATCGGCGCCATGGCACCACTCTCAAAGGCCTCCCGTGTTCGCTTGAATATTGCAACTGCTACTTCTTGATCAGTTTTGGTGGAAAGCCAATTTGGATTGATGGTCGGAAGGTCAGCAGTGTCTGCCGACCGGATCGTTACGTTGCCTCGGGATGTTGGAGCGACAAGCACACCAACTATTGATGCGTAATCGTAGCCATCCCTGGGTTGAATCAAGACAGGCTTCGAAACATTACCGACATATGCAGCCGTGGATAGATACTGAATGAGCACGAGTTAGCCAAGTATCTTTCTCGCAATATGGACTGGGCTACATACCTCTGCCTCAGGCCAGTCACTGGGAAAGCGTGCCAGATCCTGCAAAGTTTGTTCGGAGAAGTTAGCCCGCAGGCTACTTGGGATCTTCTCCCATGCTAAGTAATCCGTGACAGGGCTGGTAAAGGGTCCTTGCCGGAAGATAGCAGCATTGGCCGCTTGAGTGAGCAAGTATGAGAGACTCGTTACTACGGTTGACGCCGTTGGCATCCGAACCCGGTAGGACGGGGCGAACAGAGGATGGTCCCACATATTCTGACCAACTCCAGGATGGTGGGCAAGAACAGGTATTCCATGATCTTCGAGTGTTCTTGCCGGGCCAATGCCAGACACCATCAGCAGCTGAGGTGATTGGAATGCACCCGCAGACACAATAACCTCTTTGTCGGCATATAGCGTGAACTCGCCGAGTTTACCCTTAGCTAAAACGCCCGTGGCGCGTTTTTGGGAATTGAACAATATCCTCTTTGCCAGTACATAAGTGTATGTAGTCAGAAGAGGAGGTTTCGTTTCAAGGAATGAGCTTTCGGAACTGCTTCTTTTCTGGTCCTGCGGTCGGATAGTGCTTGTGCAATACTGTGCCCCCAACAAAGACCCGAGGTTGAACTCATCCCGGTCCTGGATTCCAATGGCGTTCATTGCTAGTCTCACCCACGATGAGAACGCCATAGCGAAATTAGAGTACGAAGCGTGCAATGGCCCTCCTTGGGGATCGTAAGCAGCTGGATCGAACGATGGAGTCGAATTGGGAAATCGGGTTAGCTGGTTGGGAGGCGTAAAGTGGACACTTCGTTTGAAATAAGGCAGAACGCGGTCGAAGGTGTAGCTGCTATCACCTACAGCAGTGGCCCATTTCTCCATGGCACCTCGTGTCGGTCTAAGTATCATGAACGGATTAGCCTATCTGGACTCCCAACGCCTGTTATCATTACACGTGAAAGTGAAGTATACCGTTGATAGATCATAAAATTCAACGCCGACCTTCGCCTCTCTTTAGTTAGTCAGCAAGGCAGGAAGTGCATCGGATAACGTACGATCCACCCAGACATTTTCCTCGGGCATAGTGGATAGCTCGACTGTTTGCCCCAGGCTGATGTTCGGTTACAAATCCCCAATCAATGCTGAACTTGTTCCACGGGTCTGATCCAACAGGGATGATATCTGCCAATGGAATAGCAGCAAGGGATTGGTACTCGTAGAATCCACCAGCTTCGATCAGCGCAACGGTATAGGATTTCTGTGCTAGGCGAGTGGCCATGACGATACCCGCGGCACCGCCTCCAACGACAACATAGTCGAATCGTCCATCATGGAGCAAGCTATCAGAAGCACTTGGCTGGCCACTGGATGTGGGAGCAGCAATTGTATGAATCAGGCACCAATGCAGAGCAACCAATACCAAGACTACTCGACGAAGCATGTTGATGGGTGGTATACTCGACGTAGCAGTAAACAAAGGATTCGGTCACGAAGTGAGGGTCTGGTATCTCGAGTCATGTAAGTGAAGTAGGACGAAGTTAAGGAGCTAGACAACGTTGCGGGGTTATTGTGGACATCCTCTCTGCTCTCAATGTAACGGCGCTCATGCCTATTTCGTATGTTTTCGCTTTAACCTATGATCTCGTGCTTGTAGTTTGAACGGACATGCCCTTAATCCACGCAAGGCAAGAGCATTTGAGATGGACTAAGATATCTTCCATATCTGGGGTAAATGTTGTCGTCCGTATTAGGCAACTTCGACTGGCCCTGCAGTATTCAAGCTATAACCACGTGAACATATGCTCACATGTTCTGCGTATTGTCAAGACCTACACCAGTTTCGACTTTTCATTTTGTTGTTCAGTGACAACGTTGTTGATAAAACAAGGTGGAGTGAAGCAGAAGGTCCCTGTTACCATGGGGTAACTCAGGTTAGCAGTATAGGAGTCGACGAAGGTGTATGACGGACCAAAAAAAAGCGAGTATATGCTATTCACTGCCCCGAATCCAAAGACCGGAATGAGGCCTAAACTCGAGGCATAAGGGCTCACTGCGAGTACGGTCCTTACCATCAATAAGACAAGCATGGTTAAAATATAGGCACAGGTGTTTAGTCGAAAGGTCCGCCCAGAATGATTGGCACGATGTATCTTTCAGCTTAAAAACCAGCGTTAGAGGAGTATGACAGCAATTTGATCAAATAAAGTCGGCATGACTAGCTTATGGATATGTTAAAGCTGATACAGTTGGCAAGAAGCCTTGGCTACTTTAGCCCAGGCGAAATTCGACCACGCAGGATAAGGACAGAAAAGTAAACATTCACAAGCTATTATAAAGAAATGTTATAGACGAAGGAGGAAAGAAGATAACTCTCGAAGAGAGCCGCGTAGAGAAGTACTTTCACATAGGACAATGGTAGTGCTGAGGCGAGGAGAGATCTGCCGCTCGCTGGGATCCTCACTGGGTGGTATCATGTGTACCTGCGCTGGTCGCCACGTTGGGATTGTATGTAAGCATTCATGTGCTTCTATATTTTCCAGGCTGTTGGATGGTAGATGTGATCATGTCCAAACATGGCCGAGGCTTCAGTGATATAACAGATCGACATAGAGAAAACAGGTATCGGCGACGACTCTATCTTCAGAAGCCATGTGAAAACAAAACCTCACTTTTGGCCAGTTAAAAGCGGGATATTCTGACCGCTGGAGCTTATTGATACCCATCGTAGTGTCACCGTAGTGTCAGATGCACGGCAGCGACGCCGAACCTTAGCCTTATCGACATTGTTCAATCATATCGGGTAGGACGGAAGTGTGCAATGATGTCGCGAGTTACAAAGAAAGAATAAGCATCACATGTGGCGGAATTGCCAGTATGTATTGATTCCTGTTTGAGATGCCCATATGGTAAGGATTACGCAAACTGATTAGGAGTCTAATGTGTCGACACACGGCCAACTGCGTCTAGAAATGTTGCACAACCTTAATCGTTCGGTCGTCTATTCCTTTCCTATACATATCACACTTGTTACTCGACATGACTCGTCGCAAAAACACGCACATCAGTGACATTTCTGCCTGGCATAGACATCTGATCAGATAAGATTGTGCCGTGTAATTCCGGCATATGTTTACGGTTATCAAATGTTATGCTGCAGCCTGACCAAAGTGATGAGAATGGTGTGACTGATCCATTATGATTAGGGTTAACCGAGAGTATATCAAATCGCAATGCTTACCCAGAATGGTTATTCTACCAATTCGGGTATGGCGAGCCTTGGCCCCCAGCGAAGAAGAATTAGAAAAATAAAAGAATAATAAAATTAATACTAAAAAGCGACTGGCATCATAGTCAGGGGCCAGGCCATTAAGCTAGCAAATTCGCAACTCTTACTCGTCTCGGCAACCAGCAGAAGTGGAGCGCGATCGTCGCCCGTTTCCCGGTTCGGGAAATTTGGTTCCAGTAGAATCAAGTCCACTTAACCATACGTTGAGTAATGTCCAGATGACAGGCCCTCTCGCTGGTCCCCGCTGTCAAATCCTAGTTGCCCACAGGAACCGCCAGGCCGGAAGTAAATAATGAAGATATATGAGGCTGGTTGTATTTGCACTTCTGTATCTGCCTATTGGACTGTTACCCAACGAGCTTGAATCCCGATCCATGGGTTTCATGGGAAAGGCCCCACTAAAAAGTACGGAACGGATAAGGAGTTAGACTGACGGTTACATGGCACCCAAATCTTGGACGCGGGGAATTCAATACAATGTCTGCATGCGCCGTGGATCATCGCGCGATCCATGATAGACTACAGAGCTTTTGACAAGGGTCTAGTGTGTCTCAGAAGAGGACTAGGCATCAGCCAGAAGGACCTAATCGAAGATCGCAGCGGTCTAAAAGTCAAAGAATCAGGCCATTCTCAACATTTTGAACGTCCGAGGCACATTGATGCGGGGAATACTAAATAGTTAGTGACTGACATCATGTGGATAATGAACGGGCTTATGAAACAGACACAGAAAAAGGTGTCCCATGGCGAACTGCTTTCCTTCTATAGTTTAGTCGCTCGCTAATCACGAACTAAAATCATTCAACATGTTACTGGGGCCAACTAGTGGCCCCTTTTTGGGTCCGATCTGCAGTGGGTTCACGCCCCCCATTTCCTTGTCAACCCAAAGTACAACCTCATTCACATGCCCACTGTTGGGATCGACCGAAGATCTAGTGGCCAAGTCAGGAGCTAGCTGGTATTAAATAGCAAGACCCTACCCCCCTCCCCACGGGGTACAACGTTCTCTCCCACGGATCAAAACATCGCAGAAACAGTCCTCATGAGCGGCCACCTGAACCCGAAGGACTCGATGAAGTCCACATGGCGTCGGCTAGATCACGCCGAATGGACCATCTTCCACTGGTTCTACGAGATACTTGGTATCCATCCGGTGGCTTTGGACAAAGAGGTGCCCGTTCACGATAAGCAAGAGAAGGTGCCCTATATGGCGGAATGGCATACGCACCGCTGGGTGCTCATCCACTCGTTCATTCCTATCGCCATCCATCACGTCTATACGTCTTATACCGGTCACAATCTAAGCCCCCTGGCTGCGTTCATCTTTTATAGCGCGGCTTTCAAGGTCATCGCCATTCATGAAATACACATCCTTCGTCGATTGGGTCATGCGCTCGGATTCCTCGATGGCGACCAGCACGAGCGGGATGGGGTGCCGGATGTCGGCGTGCAAAAGGTCGTCCACTCACTGGTCTCAACCTCCACCTTTCGCCCTATGTTCACCGTATTTCTCAGCTATCGAGCCAGCCAACCTCCTTCGACTATGAATTGGCTCTGGCTCCCCCTCGAAGCTGGACTCTATGGAATCATCCTCGACTTCTGGTTTTATTGGTATCACCGGTTGATGCATGAGGTAAACGGTCTCTGGAAATACCACCGGACCCACCACCTGACAAAGCACCCCAACCCACTCTTGACCCTGTACGCCGATACCGAACAGGAGTTCTTTGATATTGCCGGCATTCCGCTTATGACCTACTTCAGCATGAAGTTGATGGGCTTCCCTATGGGTTTCTACGAGTGGTGGATCTGCCACCAGTATGTTGTTTTCGCCGAGATCGCGGGGCACAGCGGCCTCCGTCTGCACACCGTACCACCCAATACCCTCTCCTGGCTCCTTCGGATCTTCAATGCCGAACTAATCATTGAAGACCATGACATCCACCACCGCCGGGGATGGAAGAAGAGTGCAAACTACGGCAAACAAACCCGTCTGTGGGATCGTGTATTCGGCACATGTGGAGATCGGGTTGAATGCTACAGGGACAACATCGACTACGACACCCAAATTTCTATGCCATTGATTTGATTGGACAAATTCAGAAAGACGTGACATTTACGGAGAATATGAGACACGTGGGCGGAAGATATCCGAGATCAAGGGAACGGGGAGGGATCGACCGTGTGATTGGTTGACTCTATCCGTGAAATGATGTATTGGCGCATATACCCTTTTTGCTTTCATTTACTGTATGAATCCTACACAAGGGCCCGACGGGGCACAGAGAAATATATAACGACCTTGGACGAATTAGAGAACTCCATCCCGAGTTGCTACTGAAACAATTATGCCGCATAAAAACCATACTACCGTAAGGCTAGAACCATCACTCGCCACCAACCGTGCCTTGCACTATATATATATAGAGAGAGAGAGAGAGAAATGCATTATACCCGAATACAGCTCCCATTCAGGGGCTCTTATCGGGTCGTCTACGGCTGTTCAGTATAATACTAAGCAGCTCTCATCGACATTTGTGTCATAAATGTGCTTTATATACAATGTGGATGCAGTCAGGGGTCTGAAATAGCGGCGATTATAGTAGACTGCTTCCCCTCTTTCCCAGGCCTTATACTACCAATTATAAGGTTGACCTAATAGTCTAAAAGTAGACTACTAGGCAAAAAGGGTGCAGTCTACTGGACGTGTCAATAAATATTGTGTTGGGAAGACATCCAGATAGGTAGACTCCTAGCTAGGTAGACTTCTAGAGTGTGTCAGAAAGAGGTGATGTCCAAAAATAGTGATTTCCAGGAAATGTGTGTCATAAGATTGGTATCCAAAGCATCTAGGATAGGGTTGAATAGCAGCAGTAGTTATACTATAAAGTATAGACTATTCTATACTATATAGGCATAGAACCGAGGGATTTAGGGGCCCTATCCCGCGGCCGTGGATCACGTTGGCAGCATTCTAGGGAGCTAGCCAACCCCCCTACATATCTCTTGCTAGCTAGGGTTCCGGCTAGGATTCCGGCTAGAAGATATGCTGACGCGTTGACGTGTTCCCTAGAATAATAAAAGATATAGCGATAAAGGTGATTTCACCTCATCTCTTCGAGCGGAGGATCAGGCGTAGGGATGAGGGAAATCGGGCGATTTAAGCAATTTGATGAGGCAGAGGATCAGGCGTTGCACTATATATAGCACGAGAGATAGACTTTCGATCTCCACGAGGCACCCCAGGAGTCGAGTATGAAGATCATCTTCGATCATCAGCCCTGTTTCTGACTCGAGAAGGCAATGTCAAGACATCATGTGACCAGTCATGCCGACAATGTCGATGATCATCGTGATGGCCCAGCGAGGCTCTTGTTGGACCTGTGAAAAGAGATCATAATACGAGGTTGAAGTTTTGGCTCGCGAACACCGAGTAGGTGGAATGAGTAGAAATGTGCCAAGTGACTATTTTTCTGCATGATTTAATAACTGTGGATTGGCTGCCAAGGTATAAAAGATATGACGATTTGAGCGATACTGACAATTATATCGAAAGTTTGCCTCGTAGCGTCCAAAGAGCGTTCCCTTTTTCAGTAACGTATTTCACTAGCGGGATGGCCCCACAAGCGGGATAGCCACCCGCCACCGATTTCCGTCTGCGGGCCAATTACTAGAGCCTTTTTCACCAAAACAGCTGCATTTCTATATGTTAATTAATTACTAAGTGGTTTAGGACATCTAGCTCTAGTATATCCTCGAATATAACAATTAGAACACTGCGGTAGCACTTGTACACGCGGCCTTACTGCAGAAAGTACTGGATTTATAGGGATAGTATCCTGAGCTGTCTGCACCTTATTTTCATACTGAAATCGCTCTAGGCCTTTCTGGAGAGATACACCTTCTTTTATAGCTAGCTGTCTAACAGATCTCTTCTACTTTTGGCCTTTCTATTTATTATTAGTATAATACTTGTATATTTCTTTCTTTACAAGAATAAGCTTATTAAGAGTCAATTCATAACCTTTAATAATCTTGTCTAATTGTGCTTCTAGCAAGGGAAAAGGACTTTAAATATATTCTTTAAGTAGCTTTCTTACTGCAGATACCTACTTCTCTAACTGTCTAGTAGTATAGGGCGTTTTAGGCACGGAATTGGTTGACTGACTGCCTAGTAGTATAGGGGTCTTCAGTTAGATATCTAATTTACTTAGTACTCTATCTGGATTAAATAGAACTAGGCCAGTATCTACAAAGCTATTCTGAATATTCTCTATTATAAAAGTACTTTTGCGAGTCTCTAGAAAAATCTGTAGAAAATTAAGCTTGTTAATATGGCTGACTTCTAAACTTATTTTCTACTTTACTAAATCGCTGTATACGCCTTTTAGAGACTGAAAACAGCCTATATCTAAAGACTGTAGCTTGTTGGAAGAATATACAGATATACAGATAGAAATAATATTATTCTCACTGCATATCTAATCAAATTAAGATATAAGATAGCTGCCATGGCTGTCTATAATTAAAAGGCAGTATTTTCCAGTTATACAACTAGTAGTAGCAGGAATAAAGAGATTTTTAAGCCAGAGAAGGCCTATCTTATTAGTAGTCTATCTATTAGAACTAACTTCAATCCTGCTATCCAATAGAAGCTTTGAATTATAATACCAGCCCTCTATATAGACCTTTCCTTTAAAGATAATACACGGAGGAAGTACCTAACCGGTAGAATTAATATATTTAATCAAAATAATCTATTCCCGATTGCCTGGCTGTACAAGACACGCTTTTCCATAGTAATCAGCTCTAGTAATTACTCGAGCAGTAGCTACTAGGCCCATAGTAAAGCTAGTCTTATCAAAATTATAGATATCTTCTAATATAATCCTATACTGTATTATAGTAATTTGTACACAGTCAAACTACTCTTTAATAATCTTAGAGTCTTTATATTTAGTGTATCGATAATCATATCGTCGAGAAAAGCAGGATTTTACTTCAGAATAGTGTTTAACAAAGTTAGTAACCCAGTTTACTCTAACTGACTGAATAGATATAGTAACGCAGCCAGTAAGAAGAATATTAACTATTTCTCACATATTTGATAGTTTACAAGGCACTCTATATTGATCTAGTAATAGAATCTATTGTACAAGCAATTCCTTTTTATTTTGAGATAACTTATAGTTGTTGGCACGTGTTTCGAGACATGTTAGTATACCGTGTAGTCGGGTTTGTAAAGTTAAGCGAGAGATATTAAAAATATATACTACTTCGCAAATACTATTAATTTCTTAATTTTTTAAAGCAGATATAGTATGCAGAATTCTTCCCTCTTACTCAACTAGATTTCTTGAATTTTGACGCGCTTTTGGAGGCATGATTGGTGGTTGAAGTGGGTAAGGTTTTCCACCGTGGTCAAAATGCGTGGGGTGGCTATCCCGCTTGTGTGGCCATCCCGCTTGTGTGGCCATCCCGCTAGTGAAATACGTTATAGCCGTCTCTTAGGTCAGCAGACCCACCACGCACTTCGGCGTGTTGGTCTGCCTCACCTCAACGATAATTCCCACCTCAACGATAAATTTGAAGCTATTCAGAGCTTTTATTTACTACCACTATGTCTAATACTTATTCTGATATAGAGATGCGAATCTCTCAGGCCTATAAAACCGCCCAAGGCCAAAAAAAACCAAATATATCTGCGCTAGCGTGTGAATTTGATGTTCCCTATCAACGACTCAGAGCGCGTATTCAGGGCCGAGCTACTCAAAGTTCATGTCCTATCTCAACCAGAACCCTTGGTAATTTACAAGAGAAGATATTGATTTGTTGGATTCGTTAGCTTGATAATCTATATCGTCCATCTACAGCCGGAATGATTGAGCAGAGTGCCAATCAAATACTACAACAGAATACAATCGACGGGCTACCTTGTACAGTTGACAAGAACTGGGTCTATCGCTTTATTAAATATCTCCCAGACAATTTTAAGCTTATTTAACAGAAGCCAAAAGATAGGAATCGTCTCGATGCAGAGGATATAGGTATTCTTCAGTACTGGTTTGACTGCCTAATACTTTATATTCAAAGGTGTATACTATCTGGAGAGATAGTACAATGCAGATATTCCCGATGAATATCGAATAGCTCTATCTTCTAAAGGCTATACTTCAGATAAAATTGGTCTTGACTGCATCTAATATTTCTACTGTTATACAAAGTGTTGTATCTCTAAAAACGAGGTCCGATTACTACTTTTTGATGGCCACGAGTTCTATCTTACCTACGAATTTCTTCAGTTCTGTGGACAATACTATATTATACCTTATTGTTTTCCTTCTTATATAATATATCTTGTACAGCCTCTTGATGGATAATCTTTTTAAGCCTATAAGTACTTTTATTGTAAGCGAAACAATGAGCTTGCTTCAAGGAGTGCTGAGATAGACGATAAAAGTAATTTCTTAAAATATATTTATCCTATTTGTACAATAACTTTCAAATAATATACAATACGGTATGCCTTTGAGAAGTGAGGTATATATTCTTTGGATTCAGAGAAAATAATGAAGTCTCTATATAAGATTTTAGAGACTGCTCCAGAACTTGAGATAATTATAATACTATTATCACTACTGTTAAACTTATCGCTGCTATCTACAATACAAGATCTTCGCCGAAGTATTAGTAAAGTATAGAGCTTTATTGATAATAATCCAGAGCTTTATTAGAGCTTTATATAATGCCTTGACCGTGTATTCCAGAGCTTACTAGAAGCTACTGAACTAGCCGCTCAGCTTAAAGACAATCTACAACAGTATCTTCAACCCCTGAAGTCTCAAAATAGGCAGAAATTAAAAAGAAGAGTCCGATATAATGGGCCATTAACTGTATTTGATGTAAAACACCGAATTGCCGATTGTATAGAGGTGGAAAGACTACAGAGCCTTAGGCAGGTTGGAAAAGCAGGAAGTTTAGAGTACGATAAACCACCACAACAGAGAGATATAGGGGATCTGCCTAGTAAAAAGACTAGTCAGGCGGATAAGGAAGGTCCTAGATTACCCTTTTGGATAGATACTCAAGGCGATATTGTATAGGAGTTTGAATAGCTTCAAATTTATCGTTGAGGTGAGGCAGACCAACACGCCGAAGTGCGTGGTGGGTCTGCTGACCTAAGAGACGGCTAGTATAGTCCTTGGAGCTTGTCATGATTGGCTACGCTGTCAATGCTGGCCCCACCGTCCAAGTGTTTTCTTCTTGGCAGCGCTCCGTACAGCCAAAACGGGTAATCTCGACACCTTGGAGCCTGGGGCGGTGTCGACGTGTTTAGCCCGACGCCAACCCAGGGCACTAGGATTAAGGCTGAGCAAAGCTTTACAAGGTGGATAGCCCAGCTCTTGGTTGCCTTAATGTAATATTGAATACCTATTGGAGGAAGCTGGACTCAGCCCTGCCCGAAGTGGGTAAGATCGTGGTAGCCATGGAATGTTTTACTCTCTTGGCCCTAACTTGCCCAAATTTGGCCATATCTAGCGCTTTCAATCTGTATGATGTAGTCTGCTCGCGCACTCACAGGCTGAACTATTTAAGAAGGTGAAGTCCTGGTCGATAAAGATGTTTTCTATCACGATTAACAACAAACAACGAGCACTAACTTCCAACCTTGATGACAATGGCTTGGAAATCTACCTTTCTTCTAACCTCTCTCTTGGTTGGCTCTTATGCCACACCGCTTGCGATCCCGAAACATACCCGTTCCGAGAAGATAACTTGGGGTCCGTGTCAAGACGAAGGAGTTACTGAGCCAACTCAATGCGGCAACTTGACGGTGCCGTTGGACTATACCGAGCCCGATTCAGGCAAAACGATCCAGCTCCAACTCCTCAAAGTCCCAGCTATTCGTGAACCAAAGAAGGGAACCATTCTGTTCAACTTCGGAGGACCGGGTCTGGAGGCAAGACTGTCTCTGTTTGGAGATGGTGATATACTACAAGCGTAGGACACCAATGACGCGATAACAAGGATATCTAGGATTCTAAGATGCTGACGGACATTCCAGTTTGACCGGAGGTCACTATGACCTGATTGCTCATGACCCGCGGTAAGTTTGTCTAGGCTACCTGTAGCTTGCCTCGTGGAGAGACTAACGGAATACCGCAATTTAGTGGAACCGCGAACACCCTCACTGCATACTGCTCTACAAACGTAACTGAGAAACTTGCAATTGGCACAGAGTCTCGATTAAACGATTTCCCGAAGCCCTCCGACGAGATGGGAATAGGAAGGCAGTGGGCTGGCAGTGGGTTATATGCCAGGTATTGTTCCGAGGGAGAGCTGAAGGAAAATGGCGCATATCTCAGCACAGCGTTCACTGCAAGGGATCTGATGCAGATCGTGGATGCAGTCACCGGCGATGGTCTGCTGAAGTACTGGGGTAAGAGGATTCATCGAGAGACATATGACTAGGTCAAAGGCTGATGAACCTAGGCTTCTCATATGGCACGGTATTAGGATCTACTGTTGCTGCGATGTTCCCCGACCGGGTGGATAAACTCATCCTAGATGGTGTTATGAACCCGCACCAATACTTTAATGACTAGTATGATACTATAGCTTCACGGCGCTGCACGGGCAATACTGACCGGGCTTTCCTACCTGCAGTGACACCGAAGTGTGGGCAGATTCAGACAAGGTCTTTTCCAGCTTTTTCGAGCAGTGCCTCAAGACACCGGAGCAATGTGCCCTCGCTAGCCGGAACGAGACAGCCGAACAGCTTGAGAAAAGCATATACCAGCTTCTGGATGATCTGAAACGAGAACCCATCGTCTACGAACACTCTATCATTGACCACAGCTACCTCAAAACTTTCATTCGATTCGCTCTCTACGCCCCTAGTTCTTATCCCAACCTGGCCGCTGCCTTCAACTTTCTATTGGATGGGAATATGCCAAAGTTCATGGACCTGGCCGAAGCCCAAGTGGGTGGCTTATTCGCGTCCGCGCAGACGAGCGACGACGCGGCATTCGCTATCCCCTGCTCAGAGAAGAGAACTGGAAAGCATACTTTGGAAGAGATAACGCCTGATCTCAATATCCTATCGCAGACGAGCAATCTATTGGGTGAAGTCGGAAACGCCGTCGCTATGATGTGCACCCAGTGGAAGATAGACGCCAAGGAACGCTACGAGGGCAATTTCGAGTCGAAGACAAAGAATCCCATTATGGTTATCGGCAACACTTACGATTCTGCCACTCCACTTCGGTCGGCCCAAAATATCAGTGCTAGTTTCGAGGGTAGTGTTCTGCTGGAGCATGGTGGCTGGGGTGTAAGTGATTTCTGTTTTCTAATAAACCTCTGTCAGAACTAACATGGTTTTATAGCACGCTACTCTTGCCCAAGGGTCATCATGTACGTCAAGGATTATCCGTGATTACTGGACCAATGGTACCCTTCCTTCTGCTGGGACAAAGTGCGAACCGGATTATCCCCCTTTCGAACCTGGCTCATTGAAAGATGTTCTGGTTAATATCGGCTTCCTTGATAAGGAATAAGCGTTGTCACCGGTCAACACTACCTCATCGGCTCTGCATGTAAAATCTCACTGCTTGTGTATTGCATTGAATGTTCCTTTGATTATGTTTTGTTCTTGACATATAGCGTTGGAAGCCTAAGTACACGTTTTAGACTAAATCCTTAGTTTGAAGTACTATCTAGAAGTATAATCTTACTCAGACAATATCGTTTTACCAGCCCACAACTACAGGACTGCACCACAAAGCTAGGTAACGGTAAATCTGGCGCCGAAAACAGCTACGTTTGAGTTGACAATCAGGAATGGTGTCATGTTCCGACTTTACCATATCCGACTATAACCGCCGATTGCAACATAGGAATGGCCCTTCTATTAGGTGCTGGAGCATACTCGAGTCAGCTTTTCGAATCCTTAAATAGGTCCTACCCCCCGTCAACATGTCGTTGCTGTTCAGTGGACTTCGCAAAGGCTGCCAACTGGTTCATCGACATATTTAGGTCACCAGAACCTTTCTTAGCCTCAAGCTTTACCGCTTCTTTCTTGTTTTCCTCCCTTTCCATGGCATTGGCTTTGAAAGCGGGGTATATGTTTAATAGATGTTGTGGTGCCCGGCTTTTTTGAAACCATTTTGAGCACTGCTATTTACTCACGTCATGTTTATGCAGGATGGAGCCCCCATCCGAGTTGGTTGGGGTAGATCGCAGATCTACCGGAGTAACAATGATGCAATGAACCCATACGAACCGCAGTGTGGGTCTGGAACCGAACGACCGGACGAACACCCCGATCTTATCGTCCTGGTTCGACATTTTGCCTTCCATGGGTCATACAGGGGTAGTTCTCTTGTGCTTCCATGACTGTCCTGTCTTTTTGATAGTTGTGATAGGGTCATAACTTATGCCACATCGTAGTTATAGTTCTAGAATGCGCTAACATGCTCATTACTGCTTTCTACTGTGTCAAGATACTATACGTCAGCGGACCCACTTAGAGCAGGGAGAGCAGATGTTGATCGTGAAGCAATACTCGCATCATGGTCAGGACCTATCCAGGAACGGTCCTTAAATCAGGCGCAATGGTAGCACTTTTGCGACATCCCACATGTTGCATACCTTCCCCCCACTCCCGCAGACATGGACGAAAGTGGACAGGAAAAGCAAAGTGGACAACAAGATGATCTCGAGCGCGAAGCCGCTCACAGGGGGCTTAGAAAGACGGGGTCCAAGACACTCGGGTGGGATACAGATCACCATGACTTCCCACGCAACTGGCCTCTTCGGCGCAAGTTCTATGACGCCTGCGTCATCTTCTTCTTGGAGTTCTATACGACCGTCATGAGCACAACGGGGCCATCTGCTGCAGAAGACGCCATGTCAGAGTACACAATGAGCAGGGTCGTGATGCTCACCGGTTTTCAGTTCATGTATGGCGCTGGACAAGCATTGGGGGGACTGATAATGCCTCCATTTTCGGAGGCCCTTGGTCGCCAAAAGTCCTACCTCGTGTCCGCCGGTGCATACAGTATTTCTTCTCTCCTGGTCGGCCTCGTTCCTTCGCCGGCCGGAGTCTTCATTGGCCGCTTTTTCTCTGGTTTCGCCTCGTCTGTACCGGCAATTGTTCTAGCTGGAAGCATCGAGGATCTGTATACCCAACAAACAAGGCTGTGGCTTCTCTGGTTTTGGAATTGCTCGACCATGCTCGGTATCGCGGTGGGCCCAATCTATGGGTCATATATAGTAGATGCAATTGGTTGGTAAGTACACCAGGGGCCCGCTATATGTATATACAGCGATTTACTGACTGCTCGATCTGTAGGCGCTGGCTCTACCATGTTTCCGCCATCACATGCGCGGTGATATTCTTCCTCCTTATACCCGTCCGCGAGAGCCGGCCGACGACCCTGCTTCAACGCCGTTTTGACAATCTACAGTCAAAAGTCGGAGCAGTAAACATGGATATACCAAACCCTGACCGGATTAACAGCGCCCGAGAGCTTGTACAGGTGATTCTGGTGCGACCAGCCAAGGTTGGTGTCTCGGAACCTATCCTCATCTTGGTCTCCATCCTCAGCGCCTCGGCCTGGGGTATGATGTACCTCTTTACCGAGTCCTTCACCGTAGTATACAGTGAATTCGGCTGGAGCTCAAGGGCGACCTCATTGCCTTTCATTGCCCTGTTTCCTGGGATCATAATGAGTGGATTTGTTCGCATTTGGGACTATCACAAACTGAATTCCCGACAGAATGCCGGTCAGCGACCAGAGCCAGAAGATAAAATCGGCGGTTTTGCGATTGCTGCGCCCGCACTCTCCATTGGACTCTGGATTTTCAGCTGGACGGTTCCACCACTCGTCATTGTCCCTTGGATCGCCTCCATGTTCGGCCTCGTGCTGATTGGCTTTGCAGCGACTGAGTTCTCATACACGTTGAGTGGGTACATTTCCGACGCGTATACTATCTACGCCTCGTCAGCATTGGCTGTACAAGGCTTCTTACGCGCGCTGTCCTCCGGCTGTCTTCCTCTATTTGCGTATCCAATGTATTCCGGGCTCGGATCAAACGTCGCGACAAGTATTATTGCGGCTGTGGCAACTGTGTACTGCCTGGCGCCGTATATATTCCTGAGACATGGTAAGCGTCTAAGGGAGAAGAGTCCTTTCGCTAGATACAGTGCACAGGTGAATGATGAACACGGTGCGGATTGAGGGGAATCATTTTGTATAACTAGTGGATGATGGCTGTAGTTACGCAATATGTTTCACGATAGGCGAGAAGCTTCAGATCAAGAACTTCCTCTAGCAACCAAGCCGCACTAGCATATGCACCTTACGTCCCACAAAGCTCTCAACGCAGTCTGCCATTAGAGGTCTTTTAATGAATAGTAGATTTGGATCAATAACATATTCAAGGTTTTCAGTAGCGGATATCGCGTCTGCGGACTGGCAAGACATCATGGCGGAGTACAAGCTTGCACAGGTATATTGTACGCGGTAAGCATGGCACAGAACTGTAGATGTTTCTTGTGCAAAGGAGATATTGTCAGCAAGGAGACCCTCATCTTTGCAGCCGACAGCACGCCGATAGTCGCCGACGGTGGCATCAATACCGGTCGGCATAATGCAACATATGCGAAGTGTGTGAACCAGGTCAGCTAGCGGATCTGCAACCGGGAGAGCCAATATAGGAAGGGCGACATCTCCATCATGAGTATGTAGAAGTGACATAGTGCTGGATGGTTGAGGCCCGGTGGGCTCTACCGATAATCCCAGTCCCATACTCTACGTGGAGTGATGCATATAAATGATTCCGCAACGAGCGCAGTCACAGTCACATTCGCTGCTGAACGTATGAGCGTCCGCATACGCGCGATCAAAGTGGGTTAGATCAGCGAGCATACTATGAGCGAACGGGAAGCAAGAGCCAACCGCCTGGATCAATCCTTGTTTGACTGGTGTAAACTTGGTCGTTAGGATGAAGGCTTGAGCTAAAACATTGTTGACGTTCTTGATAGAAGCCCGGCGACCTTCAGGATCAAAGACCTACCCCGCCTTATTGTAATTGGACCTGCATGTTAAGCTTTATAGAATGGACAGTACAACTGAGCTTGGATTGTGGGGGACAAATTAATGATACAGCGTAGAGATGATGAAATTCTCACATGAGCTGAAAGACAGATTGTAGCGGCCTACTGAGAGTACCATGTCCCAGCCTTCGCCCCCAGGAACACCGCAAATCGGCAGCAAGTAGTGTAGGTATCATCGGAGGAGTGTAAATACTGGGAGATAAAAAGGAGATGAAATAGACCAAGCAGCCTGAGCATTGGAGTGAGAGCGATCAGATTGCTCATATTCGCTCCATGAACCGCTCAGGTCGGCAGGGGCTTCCTGTCACTCAGGTTAGTCCAGTATTCTCTATATAATACATTATCCACAAAGGTCTGTGCTATTGGTGATCGGTAGCCTAACTCTAAGACTGCCCACTATTCACGGTAGATAGCAAATGAGAAACCTTCAACGCAAGGACCGGGGCAGTAGTAACTGAGTCAGAAGAGGTTTACTACTATTTAAGAAGATTTAGCCTCAGACAAAAACCGGATATAAAGACAGGTATTGATCAAAAACTGTGACCCAAGGCTCTCCTAAAGCCCAGCCATTCATTATGATTCAGTGACAGACTGGACAGATTGGGGCCGTCCGAAAGCTTGTTCATGACGCCCGTGAAGTCGACAAATCTGTACATCTCATCGCAGTGCACGGACCAGCATCCGTTGACCCGGAAGTCCGTCGCCTTCACCAACATTGTTGATCGTTTGAAAGCTTACATATCGGATAAATCAGGACCAATTATACCAAGGCTGCGGCCCAACCCCGCCCTAGTAATTACCGCCAGGTCTATCCCTATGAGGCATCCGGCAAAGAGGCAACTTGTGGGGATGATTAGAGCCTCTTATTGTATAGAATACAATTTTATTCAGGTAATACTCCTTGGCCAAAGCCCACCGATCCCAATAGTACGGTGATCTGCGGATAACGTGGCTCCTTAGAGGGGACATGATGACCGATGATAGACGGTTGGACCCCTTCGCACTAGTTCCGAATATACCTGCTCTATAGGTATGGTGTGACTTGTGCAATATCACTCTTGGAAGAATATGCCTGTAATACTCTTGCTATTCTTATTTCATTCTTCTTCTTTATAAATTTCCCTTTTGCTTCCCTGGGGAGCTTCCCTTGCGCACTGTATACCATGGCACCTTAATCCTAACTTGTAGAATCTGATAATCCAGAGTATTGGCCATGAGAACCTTTAATAATTAGGATTAAAACTACGAGTCGCATCATACCTACGCAGGTAGAGAGACACTTGCCAAAAATTCCTCGGATACTTGGACAGAGTGCAGCAGCCATAGAGGCGTGTCTCCCGTGGCTGTCGCAGACGCCCGTAGCGTTGCTTTCAGAGCAATCTAACAGCGTGGATACTGAATGTTACGAGTCTGGAATGTGATGATGCTTATGATATGAAGTTGTTGCTCTCCTATCCTTCGCAATTCTACCTCACTATCTAAAGATAACTGCTCATCATGAGACGAAGACATGTGACACTGAAGAAGCCTATGTCAGGTCAGCAGCCTGGGGAAAATCGTTCAGCAAGTTGTGGCTATGTTGAATATGGGAAAGGGTGAATGAGCTATCCATTCGCTTCGCGTACATTAGTGGGTAATAGAGTTTAGAAAGATATTCTCCCCCTCAGCTCAAAACCCCGCCCAGCTGAGGTGGCATTAACTGTTCAGCTGAACTGTGGAGACGTAGTACTAGTATAGCTGACAGATTCCCTTCGCCTCAATAATATAAGAATCCTGCAAACTTCCCTTCCATCACTAGAAGTCTAGCTCTCTTCATTTCTACTCCTCTCCTCTCTTATTTTCCTTTATTACTTATCCGTATCACTTATCGCAAACATGCAACCAGCAACCGAGCGCCCATTTAAGGCCTCCAGGTTTGCATACCGGACCAACACGGATGGCCTTACCGCTTCCAACCCAGGCGCCAAGGCTGGTGTTGAGGACGCGAAAGAGAGTTATAAATGCGCCCTCAAAATGTTCGAATCAGCGGATAAAGAAGCCCGGGAAGAATATCAGAACAACAAAGAAGCCGGTCTAACTATCGATACTTTTGGAACTTGGGTAATGCAGAATGTACGTTTACAATAAACCCCTTACTTGGATACTGTTTTCCCACTGAAGCACCCTCTGTCTAATACTTGTTTGGTAGGATCCTGTTTGGGTTGCCCAGAGGGCGGAGGCGGAAGCACGGGGTGCAGCTTTGACTAGCGCTGCTATGTTTGCCTTTGGGCAAGATTATATGCAGAAAATCCAACAGGGACAGTCAGAAATGGCCCAGGAGGCATACAGAGCGGGTTTTACTCCTGAGGTATTCTGAGATAAATCATGGGTTTCATCCGAATTAAGTATTGGAGCTTAAAGTGAGATTATAACGATATCCATCAAGGCGATAGTACAATTTCATTTAATAGACTACCTATTTCAGATCCTTGTTGAGTCCTTCATTGCATAGTAGCACTCTCCCCACCCAGCTTATCATTCCTTATCCGTCGATTCAACTACTTGCTGGCTCAGTGACAAGTCCGCTTGAACGGGGGTTTCCAATGCTGCATTACGCCGGAACAAAGGCCGACCACCATCTATTTAAGAATTTGTCTAGATTAGGTTTATGATAGGCAAGCCCACAGTGGGTGGATGACTGTACTTACTTTGGTGAGAGACAGGCGTTGCTTGGCCGACACTTATTAGAGCTAATATTAGCCTAAGTTAAACACATGTTACATTAACATAACCGGTAAGCGGCTCAGTTAGTGTAATTTCAAAATTAGTTTCACAAACGAGCAGTTTTTTAGTTGCGTCTAACGCTAGGGTTAGCTAATGTTCAGGGTAGATAGCAAATGAGAAGTCTTTAACGCAAGGGCCGGAGCAATGCTGTCTGTGTTATAGGAAATTTGTCAATATAAACAGGAATTAACCTAAGAAAGGAAGAAAGACAAAGATAGATATTAACTCGAACTTATAAATTACAGACACACAGTCTATACCTCTAAGGCTCTCCTAGAGTACAGCGATTTATTATAATCCAGTTGGCACCTTTTCTTATAAAATAGTAACTTATTCACTAAATTAGGGTATCCTAAGCTCTATTTATGTTACTTATAGATTGATAGGCCTATATATAATCTAGTAGTTCATCCAACTCTCCCCTGTTAACTCAGCGATCTGTCGCCTTGGTAAGAACAGAATATCCTGACCTAGAGAGTAATATACCCTTACTATTTTACTAGACTAATTCATGACCAGCGATATTACTGTAGTATCTAGACTACCCTGATCCATTTGTCTGTGATGAACAGTGATAAAGAGAACAGTACCCTTAATAAAGATATTGGCCAGCAATGGCAATATTGGCAGTGGGACTGACCTCTTGTGACCAAACGGGACAAGTGCGAACTTTTCGCCAAAATTAGAATAATATAAGACACTGTTTATGTCTGAAGCAATATCCTGAGTTGTGAATCTTATACCAATAGTATTTTACCTCTCATTGGATACTCACGCATGTGTCCTTTACAGAGGTTCTGGCTGATAATGATATGATAATCGCTGGAATTGCTGCAAATCACTTCTCGAGGGGCATTGGCATGTAATAAAGCAATTTACTTGTCAGCGATGGTGATCCTTGCACAGTTTTGTAAGCTCGCATGTATTCGCCTAGCGTTATATGTTAATTCAATTAGTGCAAGAGAACAAAGTACAAGAAGTTTTTTAAGCACCCATTCAAAATGCTAATTCCCCAGTTTTTTCTCTCCGCCGAATCTCCAATTGAGCCACAGGGTCAACAATCGCATAAACCCCGTGTGCCATAGGTTGCGAATCGTATCCTTCCTTTAACCGAAGGTCATATTCGAACAGAATGTGGGCCAAACATAACTTCAGCTCGGTAGCGGCAAAGAAGCGACCGGGGCATATATGTCTACCACCCCCAAACACATTATGCTCTCGACTGGATTGCACAAATTGGCTCGCGTTTTCTCCTGCATGACGTCGCTTCAAGAAACGATACCCATCGAATGCTTCAGGGTCCTCGTAAACCTCTGGATTCCACATGTCGGTTGAGTCGACCGCAATATGAGATCCCTTGGGAAGTCTCGTCCCATCCGGTAGAGATGTGTCACGGATGACCTTGCGCTCCAATCCCACTATAGCCTAACATTAGACTCAATTCTAGTCGCTGTCATTATGGACACCTACCTGTAACAGGAATCTGTCTTTGCGACTCCTTCATCACGCTATCGAGTAATTCCATCTTTGCCAACGCAGCAAGTCCCAGACCGTGATCTGACAGTGACTTTTGGATTTCCTGTCGTAATGGCTCGACGAGTTCGGGATGTTTCGCAATGTCGATCAGAATCTGCCTGAAGAGTTCAGTGGTGGTAAACAATGCTGCCATCGCCAAAGCGAGCTGTATATCCCCCGCTGGGTGCTTGTTGTTAGGGACTTGCATGGTCCAGGAAAGAACATCGTTGTATTGCGGTGCAGCCAAGCCTTGCTGCTCTGCAGTTCTGGCTTCTTGTTCCCTCTTTTGAACAACTTGCTGCATGATTGCGCGAGCTTGGCCCAAAAGCTCTCGACATGCCGAGGAATGGGGTAGAAACCACTGTACGATCCGCCGTAACGGGGCATGCCATGCATGCAGCTCCCTCACGGCCGCGAAATACTCGCGCACATAGGCCTGAACGACCGTTTGCCACTCTGTATCTGCGGCCTTCTCGGGACCTACGAAGATCGAGGCTGCCGCGCGAGAGATAATCCCCATGGTATCACTTTCCCAATCAAGGGGAGACCAGATGCCACTATCACCCCAGTAATGTTGGAGCGCCGGTCCAATATGGCGGTTGACCGTGGGGATAATCTCTCCGTTCTGAGATAATTTCGTCCGCAGCAGGTTAATCAATATATTGTCGGGGGCGTGGAGTGTATACTGAGCCTCGAATCCCGGGAATCCCGCAAAGTATTCTTCCCTGATCAATTCTTGGTGGTCGAGGTCCCTGTTTGTCTTGACCCAATCGCTCAGAGCAGATGGAAGCACGATTTTCAGCCCGTCCGGCGTACGTAACGTGATCGGACTACCGTGCTGGGCGAGACCCTCGACGATGAGCCTTTTCGCATTCTGGTTGTATTCGCGATATGCTTTGCGACGGAAAAAATCGCCCTGGTAATCATTCACAACTGGAAATATTGGTCGCTGTTTGGTTGCATAACGATACCACCCGGCGAGGATGGCAATAAGTGTCCATGTGAAGGCACTCGAGAAAATTTGATCCAGCATTGGAGCCACTTATTCGGAATTTATGAGACGTGACATGATTTATGACGGGGGAAAAATCGGACCTTTAAAGCACCGAGTATTCAACCTGGAAAACGATCGGACACTCAGTTCGGCAAGGGGTAGATCATTTTCTGCAGGCATATTTATACACAATACTTACTCGGTGGGTACGGGAGTTAGGTTAAGTGGGGACTTTGGTCCACATTCATCATGAGCCACCATGACTCATGTCGCGCTGCTAGGATTGGGTGCGGCGGATTGATACAATTTAGGGCTTATTGTTACCTAAAGGATTCTATTAGAGCCCGAATAGTAGTAGATATATAGCGCGCAGCACCACAATTTTTGTAGTAATAGTGGTAGGAAACCTGACCTAACCTCTCATGTTAGTAGTAACAACCCTTAAGTTTAGGGGCTATAGTACTAGTCGGTAATTCAATTAACTCCGCGAGTATTCAACTATGCGGTATACATGGGTGTAGTCCCTTGGGAACTTTGGAAAGTCAGTGGCTCTACTTCTCTCTTAGATACGATCGTGGGTGACGACTGCCTCCTGCCATATTAATATGTTCTTTTCCACACTGAAGAAACCCATCATTGAAAGGTGTTGTTACCTATTGTTCGGGACAGAGCGTATGTACAAGGCACGGTTGGAATGCCTTTGGTATTTTAGTCCAGTGGGCATGACATGTTTTACAAGTCCTAACCTGAAGGTACAAGTAGAGGGATCGAACCTTCATTTTTGAGTCTATTCCAAGTATTAAGTTGATAAGCGGGACATTGTGTCGTAGTAGTGACCCTCTGTTGCCATTTTTGCCTTTACCCCGAAACCCCAGTCGTTTATCTCTTCCACTGGTGTTGGGCGTATGAAATTCGGGAAATGCCCACTCGATAATTGCTGCACTCGAGTCTTAAAGTCAGAGACTTAGCGAGCCTATCAATCCTTGTTGAACCTGTCCAATGGTGAATCTGACAAATTCTTGTGCATCATGCATGATGTTCTGGACTGTTTAGCGGGGTTGTTGTTTGAACCCCACGTCTTCCTCTTTCCCCACTTAAAATACCAGTACTCTTCAAATATACCTCGAGAATCAAAGAGAACTGCCCCATATGGAAGACCTGGTATACGAGCTGGACCACCTGGTATACGAGCTGGACCCGAAGGGTGACATCTTCCTCATTCTGGACAATGTATCTAAGGATCTGCCGGACAACCTACGGGATCTTACCACGTCGTCGGGGTGGCCAGATGGACTCAGTAACCCTACACCTCCAGAAAGCGACCAGCATAAAGCCGAGAAAAGCGCGGACAGAGGAGGTCAAAACAATGAGATTGAGTCGACCAATGCCCCTGAATGTACTCCGCGGCGCCGTCTGCAGATCCGTGTGTCGTCAAAACATCTGGTATTGGCCTGCCCGCAATTTGAACGGTCGTTGCAAGATGGCTTTGAGGAGGGTACTACGCTGAAAGCCACAGGCAGTCTCCAATTCCCTGTACAGGATTGGGAGGCCATACCTTTTTTAATCCTGATGTTGATTATCCACCATCGAGCACGAATGGTGCCTCGGGAAGTGTCTTTAGCCAGGCTAGTGGAGATCGCGCGGTTGGTTGATTACTACGAATGCTATGAGGCAGTAGAGCCGTTCTCGGGTCCTTGGCTCATCAATCTAAAGATCAAATCTCTCTCATCAAGTTGTTGGATCCCTTCGTTGATGGATGAGGCCGAGAAATGGATTCTTGTATCCTGGGTGTTCAAAGAGGCCAAGCCATTTCAAGATGCCTCGATTTACCTCGAGTCTGAGAGTACAGGAATTGTTAGCTTCAGTGGACTTCCTGGGACCCACGCTATACAAGGTGACTTCTATCTAATCTCTAAGCTACCCCATCACTTACAATACCTTCTCAACTCCAGATGCGATCAACAGTTCCCGACGAGCGCTGATTTCAGGAATCATCAAGTCCATGAATAATCTTTTTTCAACGCTACGAGACGGCCCCAAGCAATGTTCTGAGGGGTGTGACTGTGCGCTACTTGGCGCTCTGACTAAAGGAATGCATCGAATCGGAATTCTGTCACTGAATTCGACTTCCAGCTTTGAGGGGATCAGCTTTACTCAATTGGCGCACGACTGTCGCAACATCACAACTCCGCAGCATAACTGCAGTAGCGGATCATATAGACAGTGCAGCATATCTGGAAAGGTTGCTCCTCTGTTAAGAAATACGGAGAAGCTTAACGTGGGGTTGGATATTTCAGCATTTGCCGAGCTTCGCTCTCCCCATAGCTAGAATGCTGGACTCATCATTATCAATACACCAGAACCGCTTTTTTAAACCTAGTTTCACCTTCTATGATACAGGTTTAAAGCTGCCTTGGCTGGTAAGGCCATATAATTTGATATACTTTTATGGAGGTTGAAAGCGTTGATTATTCTACTTGAGAGGTGAGTCTTATCACATAAAGAACCTGTCAGAGTTATCTACTATTCAGGGTAGAAGACCTGTCAAGTAGGTAAGGATACGTAGGCGAAGCAGAAGTAGATAGTCTATGACAGAAAACTGATTCTTGCCTTTCTCTAGTATCAACATCAGGCTAACTTTATAGCTAGAAGGACCCCCTTCTTCTCTTAACAAAATAAGACTGACAGGGGGCTACTATACGTTATTGAAAAGGCAACGGGTATAAACTCCGACGTTGCCGCTCGACGACCGAGTTGTCTATGCGCAGTGGGCAGGGTATACGACACAGTCACCATGCAGAGTCATCATTGTATCTGTGACAACAATCATCATGATACATACAGCAATACCATGAACGCTGCTACCAGATTAGGTTGGGTCGGGTTTAGGGAATCTAGATTTAACTACAGTTAGATTAGTTTACAGGAGCTATGTTATACTAGACTTAGTATATATCTTGACAGGAAACCCGCGGATCGGGTTCACCTAAACCGGCGCGGGTTTGGGGTCGGTACGGGTTATCACATGAAGAACCCGCCCCGACATCCACTCTAACAGTTAAGTTCAGTATCTATTTAAAATTAATCTTATTAATCTTCTATCAGAATACTAATCGATTAGAATTAATAAAATATTAATACTAAACATAGCTTTTAATATAATCTAATTTTCTTCAAATTGTCAGGGAGGGTTTCAGGACAGGCAGGTTAATCAGAGCTAATACGCAGGTAGGCTACAGATCAGGCTATATACAGACGAATAGACAAGACATAGCTCGAAGAGCTACAACAGGATCAGAATCTGACAGGAAGACATATAGTCAGGGGTCACATACACAGACAGTCGCGATAGGCAGAATCGGTGTTGTAGACTCGCACCGTGACAACGGGGCAGCAGCTTCTGCTCTTGTTGAAGTTTGTTGTTTTTCTTATAGAATCAATATAGTCACCCATCTAAATTTGGGCTATTTCTACGTTGGCGCGGCAGCTTGTAGTTGTAAATCAAGCTCGTTGCTCGGCCAGCAGCTGGCTGAGTTTAATCGTATATTTACCTTGTACAAAGACCTTTCATATTCTAGAGGGAAAGGTCCTAATATAATAGGTGTATTGGTTAGATTCGCTATATACTCTACCTGCACTAGCTTTTCTTGCGCACTGTTAAATATGGCGCCTCGATCCCGTCTACAGGGATCTGACAAAGGGTATCAGAGTGATGTCAGTTCCGACCCGAACGTGATCTTTTCGGACAATCTGATAGCGACTCCACCAGTGACCCGAATTCCGATAGTGAGGACTCCGATGATGAAAACAAAGCTAGTCGAGGATACCGACGATGAGGGCCAGCTACCCTCGGAACGCTACTTGACCCAGGAAGAGAATCTGAATGCCTCTCAGCTTCGACAAAACCGGTACAGCGACGGTACTCAGGAAAAGGCTTCATGAAACTCGCATTTACTGGAATACGTAGATAATCCCCTCAATCCTCAGACTATGTTCACATGTTAAAAGCTCACTGGCAGCTCCCGCAGATCCTGTCAATATATCGGAGTTGACCCAGTCCAGCGCAGGAAATGGATTTTCAAAACTCTAACAAGACTGTTCAATTCCTATACGCATTTTTGGGTTGGCAGTGCGATATTCGCGTTGGTAAGAACAGTCACCACTGCCCAGGAATTGTGTGAAAGAGCTTGTTGGAGTTATTCTGGAAGTGGTGGCATCTTCTGAGACAGGAGAGGTCATTCCTCAGCAAAGACAATTGTGAAGGTGAACGATATATAAAAGGGTAGGCGGTAGGACAAGCGCACGGCCCCATTCTAATGGATCTTTGAAATTTCAAATATCACTCACTCTATGCAGTAAAATGGTTTCTGATACGTTCTAGTGGATCTAAAAATTGGGCTTTGCCGAAGTCTACTGACGTGGCGGCTCGCAGGCAGCTGACTGCGAGACAGATTAAGTGGGGCTCATACTACGTATCGTGCAGGATAGAGCTGAAATGGAACAAAAAATAACTCTCTTATTGTGAGCGGGGTAATATTAGAATTGGTTAAGTGGAAGGGAAGAGCGGATTTTGATGTGACATCGCAACATCCCTACGTTCAGCTAGGCCCACTATGACCAATTCTAAATAATGAAAAAATACACTATCAGGAGCGATCTACAACACTAGTATTTATGAAAAAGTGTGCTCAATAAAGAGGGGCGGAAAGAGGGGACTGGATTTGGGTATAAAGTGTTCCCTCCTCGTCGGAGAAGAAGTTGTTTTCGATCTTATTGCCAACATTTTCAGACCATCCAATCTTGAAGAAGAAAAATGAGTGAAACCTACGAGATCATTGGTATGTACACATACTGACATCACCTATGCTGATCGTTTTGACTAAAGTATCAGGTGCGAATGTCAATCTGACTTCTCCGTCGGAGGATGGAACGGTGTGGACTGTTGAGCAGAAAAGCCCTGAATTGGAAATCGAGTATCCAGAGGGATATCTGAGAGTCAATCACACGTGGGGCCCTTTAAATGTACGTGATACCTTCTGCATACTTAGAATGAAGCTAATACCTTCTGTCTAGCTCGTCGATGGATATGTCGACCCGAATACATTCGAAATAGTGGTGGCCCCGGTCGTAAATCAAGTCTATCTCGGGACTATCCAAGGAAACCTCAAGGATGATCTCAGTGTCCAATTCAATCTATCCAGCTCGTCCGGTCAGTTTCGATTTTTCCTCAGGAATGGAAATGAAGTCTGGATAGATCTTAATATGCGAATTCAATTCGGTGGCTATTTCGAAAGGCAATGGAAGTTCTTGAGCATTTGATGACAGGAACAAACATGGCGGAAGCGGGAAAAATAGGTGTTCCGTACTGGGGGACATATCAAATACACCATATCACGGGATATTTTTCTCTACCTTTTCGTTCCCAGTCTTGACACTTTCGTTGAATGTACAGGCAGCTTTGAACTTTTCTCTTAGCTCGTAAATTTAGAGCCTCGTCAAGGCCTCTATTAGCCTAATTATCTATTATTCAGTTCAGCGGCCCCTGTAATACGTGATTTTAAATCTCTAAGACACTTTTATTATATCTAATATAGTATCTAGATTACTACTGTCTTACAGAATACGAGACAGAGTAGCTTTCCCGTAAATATAATATCCCAACCCAGTGTTTATATATATAAATTCGGTAGGTTCATCATACTCCTAGAAAGCGGTCGAAATTTGCGATCGATCTTTGCTTGTTAGGAGTCAGGCTAGCCTACAACGTTTTAACTAGTACTCCAATTCGTATATGCACTGACTGGAATGTGTACATTGATAGGCGTATATGCACTAGCTGGTGTGTTCATTGGTAGGATTTAAGATAATGAAGACACCAAACGGCATCCATGAGCTTCTCCTGATGCGCGAGGGGCCGCCTTTAAATCTAGGCTTTTGCTACGAACATTCCGAGTATCATTCAAAAAGACTTGCAGATGGTCAAGTTGACATCTGTTGTCGCTACGTCTGACGTATATGTATGTTGACCCTCCGCCCTCCCCCTTCCTAAACCCCTTCTCAATGACCGGTCACTTTGCTTGCAGGCTGCAGCAATAGCAAATAGATTCCGATAATGGTAGGCGCGAAAGACATTAGATCCCGGCATTAGAGGTCGTTCCAGGGCTGATCACCTCATGCAGCGGTCGGAACTGGTGAGAAGCATTCAACAGTGATTCAATGCTACTCTAAGAAAATTGTTGAATATGAACCGTAAAGCTACTTACTTCACCAATTATCACTGCGCAATGTCAAGTTCATTCATTCATATATACACAGCCGCCCATTAAGGAATGGCTGAGAGAAGCAACCAGGTAATCAGAGCCCTAGTAGCATCCCCCGAAGCACGCCCGTATTTGTTGTTTAGTCTCCATTCCTGCGTCCCCCTTGGCAAACTTATAGTAAATTTCCACCAGGCAAGATAGGCCCTTTAAGTCAGACATATTGTTACAACCTGGCCATTCCCGATGATATTACCTCCAGCATATTACAACATCAGTAGGCATTTACTGAATGTCACTCCAGCCATAAGCATCTGGATAACTGCAAGTTCTTGTAATACCAATACTGACCAGATCGATCTGTGACTGTGCAAATATACCGGATAATGTCTAGAGTGGTATAGGTTCCCCATCATTTCGTGTTGCTACATTTACATTTATCTTTCAGCCTTTAGGGTACCGTGGAACCATCAAGACCAGAAATAGCATATTTCAATCACCTAAAAGTACGTAGCTGTGAAACCACCCATGGCTTCACGGACCAACGATTAGGCTCCTACCTATTGCGGAGTTGACATCCATTAATGTCAACATTTAGGCTTTGACCACCCGGGATATCCGCCACCCTATTGTGTCTCAGTATGTCTCTAACCAGATTTTGGGCCTCACGTAAGACTTAAGGCGTCCAGCTCGTGTGTTTGGATACCGAATTGGTTCATGGATACCTAATCACGTTTGTGACGGAGATCTCCGATGAGATTGTTTCCAACAGCCTGGTATATATAGATCCCCGCTTCGGCTTTCTTATTTTACGTCAGACCTAGCTTACGTTTGAGACATCTCAGCCGTCTCCAGATGGGATTATAGTCCTTCCTGGGGGCATAGCCAAACTGGACATGGCCGAGGCTGACCTGGTATAAGACATGAAATTCCTAAAAGATGATGTCAGGTCATATGTATACCATGGCTCTTGTGCGTTGTGACACGGGGTCGCCGTGTTGGTCATCAGCAATTGCTATATAATGACCGGTTAATTCCAACAAGAATGAATCCAACAGGAAATGCTTTATTAGAATCACTCAAGGAATAGTCCCACATTCACCACGCTTCAATTACATTATATATATCGTTATACATTATGGCAGAGACACATAGCAAGAGCAGAACCATGCGGTCGGTTGTTTTTGATGGCCAGCCGTTCGAGGTTTATGTCCGTGATATTCCGAAGGCAAAGGTCGTCAGGCGAACGGATGCCGTGGTTCAAGTCACTTCAGCAGCTATCTGCGGCTCTGACCTGCACAACTACCACGGGGTCTTTGGTAGCGACCAGGTGCCTTATTCTATTGGTCATGAGGCCATGGGTATCGTCGAGGAAATTGGAGCAGATGTTGTTTCCGTGAAGGTTGGGGATCGCGTCATTATCCCTGACTTCCCTGATGGCGTCCGGCTGGATTTAGAACCAACGATTAACCCTGTAATTGCATTGTATGGAGAAGGCCATCAATTTGGTGATTTGGGAGGTTGTCAAGGTACGGTTGAGCTCTGCAGAATCATCCTTTGTTATCTCTTGAGAAGTGAAACATCTGTCATTATTGAGAAAGGACCTATTTCTAACTGGCAAACGCCATTTTCAATAGCCGAATTCGTGCGTGTCCCACTTGCGGACAAATCCTTGATTGTTCTCAGTAAGGAATTTGATGGCATCAAGGATGAAGATCTAGTTATTCTTTCAGACATCTTCCCTACTGCCTGGGCAGGGGTGACTTGGTCGGGCTTCGAGGCTGGAGATACGATCGCTATTTTTGGGGCAGGTCCAGTCGGATTACTGGCGGCCTATTCGGCAATTCTCCGTGGAGCCTCTCGAGTGTATTCCATCGACTCTGTTGAAGATCGACTGGAACTCGCAGCTTCTATTGGAGCCATTCCGATTAACTTCACGAAGGGCGAACCATCGGCGCAGATTCTGGCCCGGGAACCAGGTGGCGTTCAGCGCACCGTAGACTGTGTTGGAGAGGAATGCGTCAACGAGAACTTGAAGCCCGATCAGTCCTTTGTTACTACACAGGCAGTCAAGTGCACCAGTGTGGGTGGTGGCTTAGCGGTTATTGGGGTACACTTTGCTCAACCGAATTCCCAAGGAGTTCAACGAGGAAGCACCATTTCACCATCGATCACCTTTCCCATGACGCTCTTCTGGGAAAAGAACATGACGATTCGTGGTGGAGCAGTGGACAGCAAACTATATGTTGAGCCACTGCTGGAACTGGTGAAAAGTGGCAGAGCTAAACCGGGTTTCGTCTTCTCCAGCATTATCGATATCGAAGAGGCGCCAAAGGCCTATCGACGATTTTCTGACCATCTAGAGACGAAAGTCATGATCAAGTTCTCCTAGAAGAGTAAACCTGCGGTATAAAGGGTACTCTGCGGATCCGGAGGTCTGATTTTCCGCTATTTGATATTTCTGAATGTCTATATTATCAAGCTCCGTCCACATCCCCGCAAAACCTCACCCTCACAGCGCTTTTTTGGGGATTTGACCGATGCATTGTTGGGGGTAGTACAGCAGGAAATAGGGTGAGGTTCCGGGGAGAAGGCTAGAGGACCACGATAGTATAAATTGCACAACTATGTTGCAAAGTTACGCCTAGTTAATTCAATTAGTAAGGGTTTCAACCTCATCGGAAATCACCGTTTCATTGCAGATGCCCTGGAGCATAGCAAACTCCTTGGGAAGGATTTCCCTGGAACTACCAGCTGCACATCCAGAATTGTTCATAAGTAGCAATTTATATTGTGCCCAACGTCAATGCATCTAATATGGATCTGCCTAGGTCTCCTTCCGCGATAGATCGACCAACATACGCACTCTGATCGCTGGATTTAGTGTCGTAGAATAATGATACCTGAAGTGTCGAGATTATCCCCGTGGTGTAATCAAGCGGTGTTATTTTGACAACGTCAATTCTAGTATCTACTCAGAAAACCTGACGGTAAACGCCCTCATTAAAGCGGCGGTAGACAGGGCAAGCGGACATTATTCTGTGTATATCGACGGAGTATATGCGCATTTATATTAGGCCCTCCACCAACCCCTCTTCATGCAGCTAAAATGAGGGGCAAATCCAGCCTCACTCTATAAAGCCCGAGCACCGTGTCATCCTCGCCATTAACACCAATTTTAATCCCAGACTCCCTAAACGAACACACACACACACTCTCTCTCTCTCTCGCCAATCAATCGTTTCCCAAGATCCAACACAATGACTATCCAAACCTGGCACCAAAAAGCCCAAACAAAACAAACCACTGCATTAGCCAAAATTCCTCAGGAATGGCGTCTCCCAACCTCAATCCAGTCTCTACTGACTTCCGACCCAAATCTAAACTGCCTTGAAATCCCAGAAAAAAGCGGGCTCCTCACGCCCCGTGAGCTCGAAATCACAACCACAGAAGACGCAACCACCCTACTCGCCAAGATCTCGAACCGAGAATACACTTCAGTAGAAGTAACAACAGCCTTCAGCAAACGTGCAGCAATCGCCCAACAACTCACCAACTGTCTCACGGAAACATTCTTCGATGAGGCTCTCACCCGCGCAAAACAATTAGATGAGCATCTCGCCACGACCGGCAAGACAATCGGCCCTCTACACGGTCTACCCATTAGCCTGAAAGATTCATTCAATGTAGCCGGGATACCGTCCACACTGGGTTTCATTTCCTTTCTGGATAACCCAGTCCCAACAAGCAATTCTGCTCTCGTCGATATCCTCCTTGCAGCTGGTGCAGTAATATACGTCAAGACTAATATCCCACAGACATTAATGACAGCCGAGTCCCATAACAACATCTTCGGTCGGGTATTGAACCCCCACCGGATCAATCTAGCAGCCGGAGGTAGTTCTGGCGGCGAAGGTGCACTGGTTGCTCTTCGGGGATCACTGTTAGGTGTTGGGACTGATGTCGGCGGTTCGATTCGTATCCCTGCCTTTTGCTGTGGCGTTTTTGGGTTCAAACCCAGTGGAGGAAGAGTCCCTTATGCGGGACAGACGAGTCCAGCTAGACCAGGTTTAACTGGGATAGCGCCTGTGGCTGGGCCGCTGTGTCATTCTGTCCGCGATGCGGACTTGTTCTTCAAGGTTGTTGCTGATTCGCATCCCGAGGATGTGGATGATCAGGTGCTTGGTCTTCCGTGGTCGAGTCCTATTGAGCAGAAGCCTTCGTTAACAATAGGACTTCTTCCTGAGGACCCGACGAGGCCGTATCATCCTAATATGCTGCGGACAATTTCGACAGCGGTTAAGAAACTCGCCGCGGCGGGTCATAACATCATCGATCTTACGGGGAAATGTCCCCCAGTCCACGAGGTTAGCAATATCGCATTTCAATTCTTCCAAATGGATCCCGATAGAACACCCCTTGGTCACCTCGCTGCAAGCGAAGAACCCTGGGTTCCATCTTTGAAATATACATATAACCCAAATGCGACAGAGCCTGAGCCGACGCTGCGACAACTGTACGATCTGAATGTGCAGCAGGCAGATGCTTCCGTCGCGATTAGAAAGGTCTTCCTGGATAATAAGCTTGATGTTCTTCTGGGACCGGGACATCAGACTTGTGCGTCTGTGCATGATACGTTTGGGTTGCCGATTTATACTATGTTGGCTAATTTGGTTGATGTATGGTTTTCTTCTTTCTTTTTATTTTTTTTTTTTTTTGTCGTGTGTCCGGGAAGTCTGGTTCTAATGACTCACAGTATCCGGCTTGTGTTATTCCCTTTGGGGCAGCTGATGAGGCAGCTGATGCTGATTTCATTCGTGATGTTGAATATGTTCCTGAGTGTAAGTGATCTATCTGGTTCACTTGGCTGAGAAGAGTTGTGCTAATGAAATATAGATACCCCTAAAGAGGTCGAAGGCGCGCCATGCCATGTCCAGCTTATTGGAAGACGTTTAAAGGATGAACTATTGATGCAGCACACTCAGATTATCGAGAGTGTCCTGAAGGGTAAGTGAGTAGCATCGATGCTGAGGTAGATTGCAGCACCATTTGTCACATGTCTGGGTCACATGCTGAGCATGCTTTTAGATAGTGAGGTAGAGCTGAAGGATGGAAGAGGGACAACTGGAGATATAAGAATCACGACATTCAAGAGTCATCACATCCAAGAATCGTAACATTCTAACACCATTAGACAGTATCACTTCGGATATATTTAGTCTTTGAATGGCCCATTGTGATACAAGATGAACAATGAAGCAGCGCGAAGCAGTTCAATTTATATATTATTGACGCGTAGCTACTTATACCTATTGATATGAGTACTTTAGCTCAGGTGCTGACATCTGAACACCAGACAGATAATAGCCAGACAAGTCAGGCAATATCCACCAAAGTCCCCTTGCATCCAAGTTCAACTCATCACAGATCATAATCTAGCTCCGTCCGATTTCCCTCTCCTCCACATTCGCCCCAGTCAACGTAGCTACCCACTTCTTCCCTTCAAACTCCACCGTCAATGTGAGTTTTTCGTTCGGGAAAAGGGTAACATAATTATCAGACCAGTATACCGGCGCCACCTCCTGCTGTTTCTCGTCGCTAACCGTCAAATGTATAAAGAAAGCAGGCACATCGGAATTATTTTCCAGCGTCACCTCGGCAAATGTTGATCCTTGTTTCGACACAGTCGTCTTCATGCTTGCCGACACGGACGCAGTTGACATGTTGTTTAATGCGGTGAGATCCGTGTATTTAGTGACAGGTGTGGTGTAGAAGGTAGAGTTATCCCAATCTAGGCTCTCCGTGGTAGACGGAAGCCAATAGACATTGCGGCTGAGAGTGGTGCCCTTTTGCGAGTCCTTCAGGGTCAATCTGAGGAAGCCGACATCCTTGATTTTCTTTATATCGCGTACTTCTGCCACCTGCTTCGATGTTGTTGGAGTGGTGTATGTAGCGATACTTTCATGCTTTATATATCTTCCGTCGAGATCAATCAAATCCACAGTAACAGTCCGCTTCCCAAATTTGTTCAGGGAATGGTTGATGATATGAACGGTGTGCGCTTCGTAGTCGTAAGCAACATGCTCCAAGCGGGCACCCACCTTAGTCCCAAAATAGGATCCTGCCGGTCGTAAGTAATAATCAAACAGCTGCCAATGCAGACTAGGCCAGGCGCCGTTCAACATCCAGTAAACCACCCCAGTGGCCGGGCGAGTTGCATTCTGGCGTATGGCGAACGCTTCAAATTCAGCCCGAGTCGCTTCGTAATCCGCCATCTGCGATTTGCGAAGATAGTCATCCAGTCCGGTGGGTGGCCCGTACCGCGCAAAAAGCCCCTCATTGTACAGGGAGCGGTCCGCAAAGGGCGAGTCATTCTTACTCATGTGCCATTGCGGCTCGTCCGGCTTCATCCACAGATTATCCAAGTCCTGGGGAGACATAAATTGCTTCAAACTGCCGAGCTCGGGCGTTCCCACACCGGCCCCTTGTTCCGAGCCGAAACCAAATGCTGCCCCCAACTTATCGTGGTACCAGTAATTGGGCGGTACCCAATCGTAAGGCCCGTCCATCTTCATGCCAGATGGACCCAGGAGCTTGGGATAGCCGCGCTTACTTGCTGATGCAATGATCGGGTTGGGCCAGTCCATACGATTCAGAGCGTTGACATACACATTTGTGGCCTTGGTGTTGGGCCAGAAGTCCGACCCAATCAGGAATGCCAGCATCGATGGATGAGCCTGCATCATTTCTGCTTCATGGAGCATAATAGCTTCGGCAACTGGGTAGTCCTTCTCCGTCCACTTGACTCCGTTCGCTTCGTCGTTGTACTGCATCAATTAGCCATTACAGTTCACATAGGCAAAGGGTCCCAATTACCTCCCACCCTTCCCATTTATCGCAGCACTCCCATCCCGATATCACCATCAATCCCATACGATCAGCAAGATCGTACAATTCTGGATGTTCCTGCTTTCCTTCCAAGCGCACCGTATTCAGACCCATATCCAACATGTAACGGAAGATCTTGCGCAGATGCTCAAGGTCAAACCGGAGGAACATATCCGGACTATAACCTCCCCCCTTCACATGGAACGGGTATCCATTGACGCTGAATCCAGTGTCATTATACGAGTTAAGCTTTGACGTAACGTGTCGAATACCGAATTGCGTTGGTGGCGCGATATCCGAGACCTCATTTTGACCGAGAGTGGTCTTAGCCTGAACCGTGTACAGTGGCTGCTCACCCCAGGCCGCGGGCCACCAGATTCTGGGGTTCTTCAGCAAAACATCAATCGAAACTGTCGCGCTTTTGTGTGGTTCTAATTTGAACTGCTTGGAAAACGCGACCGTCTGGGATGCATGATCCTGCGCCTGGATGGTACCGTGCACAACACCACTGGCCGTGCGATTCTCGTGGTTCTTAATGTCTACCTTGATAGTGGCAGTAACATTCTCAGTATGTACACCAATGAAGTCTGTTAAAATCCGCGGCGATGACATAGACACCGGTCCCGTCTGCTTGAGTTCTACGTCCCGCCAGACTCCCGTTCCATTATCAGGCGGGTACGGGTTCCAGTCCACGAAGCCCTGGGCAAAGTCACGGAGGTAATTTGTTGGATGAGCCTGGATCAGCAAGACATTTTTTCCAGTCCGGGCAAAGGGCGTGATGTCATAGCGATGGCCACCGTATGATCCCTGTTGAGTGGAATTGGATGCAATTTGTTTTCCGTTAAAGTAAATATCCGCCTTGGAAGTTATACCGTGAGTGACAAGGAACATATGTTGTCCCTTGGGAGGTGTGGTAAGGCTGAGCTCCTCGCGATACAGCCACGGGGCGCGGAAGATGGTCTGGTCGACAGTTGCAAGATTATTGGAATAAAATAGGTGTGTGTCGTTGTAAGCATCATTTTGAATCAGCCCTGCCATGACAGTAGCCCGAGAGCCGATCCGATACCAGGAGCCCAGATTATGAGCCGTCGGAAGGGATAGGTCGGTCAGATTACTAGGTGCGTGAAGGGCAGACTGCAGATGCCATCCAGGAATCACAGCCGTGTCACCAGGGGAGGCGACAGAGGCTACGCCGAATGGTAGCACAGCGAGCGCTGAGAGGAAACCTCGATGATGCATATTCTCGAAGGAGCCCCATGTGCTGTATGTAGGTTGAGTGAAGATCGTGGAAAGCTGGAAGGTTGGGGGGGAGGAAATATATGCAAGGGCTAAAGTTACATGAAGGTTCAAGACACCCTTGTCAAGCAATCTCCGAGCTTCGAAAGTTTAGAGAACATAACAACCCTCTCAGAAAACGACCACGATCCACTTGAATGTAGGTGCACTGCATGGTTACATCGTGTTCGGGTCATCCCGAGAGATCGTCGGCAACGCTACATAGAGCATGTCACGATGCCGATAGAGCAATGGAACCGTGGATGAAGGCTCGGCACCCTCCCGATAGTACCCGCGTGCCTGGAGGCAATTCTGTCACCATAGACAACGCCATTGTTTGCCTGTCAAAGTACCGTTGGGTAGTATTAGCCAAGATAAACAAATGGAGATATTTGGTGCAACGCTGCAGGTACATACTTGTTTGTCACACTGTCTCGGACTTTAATGAATTGTGGGGTAACAGTGATTTAGCCAACCCTACCCTATCGTGACGGCCCATGTATGTTTTATAAAAACTGGGCTCTCGCCTCACCTTACGTCCTTTTGTGCTCATGTCAGACTCCACGAACCCCCTGCGGTTCCAGGCCACGATTGAGTCAGTCCCGACTAAGAGCTAAGTCGCCGCTAGTGAATTAGTCTAGCCCCAGGAGTCGTCTAGCGCCCGTGCAGGTCAGACAGATTCATGAAATGTCGTTGTCAGAGTCACTGGTGGGGATCAGCGTCTCCCAACGCAGAAACGACATGATCTTGTTTATCTGATTGGGTCCTTTGGTTGCAAATACTAGCACCCGACAGTGAGGTAACCAATTTCCGAGCATGTCTGGTGCGGTTATAAAATAGCCCAGGTTGCCCAGAGAGCCGTCCGTCAGCTTTTGAATTGCCGGTCGATCTCGGTTGCTAAGATAGTGGGCGCCCCTCCACCATGACCAACACCGAACAGCCATACGACTATATCATCGTTGGCGCAGGAATTGGCGGTCTAGTATTGGCCTCCCGTCTCAGCGAAAATGCCAATGCCAAAGTTCTCCTCGTCGAAGCCGGGCCTAATCACATGGGAGACCCGCGCGTTGAAACCCCGGGCTTGCTAGGCGCCATAATCGAAAATCCGGATTTCGACTGGGACTACTTGACCGAGCCACAGGACAGTGAAATTTGATGTATGCAGACCATGGTGGTTACTGACAAGCGCTCCAACCAGGTTCATGCAAACAATCGTCAACTCGGCCAGCCACGGGGCCGGATGGTTGGTGGCTCTTCGGCCTTGTATTTCTCAGTGGCTATGTACCCATCACGCGCCAATTTCGAGGCGTGGGAATCCCTGGGCAATGATGGGTGGGGCCCAGATGCCATGGCTCCATATCTGCGCAAATTCCATACATACACGCCCCCGAGCGAGGCCACCAGTGCGTTCCTCTATGTAGACAAGTACATGAAGCCAGAGAACCAGGGCAATCAAGGCCCTGTGCCAATCTCTCACCTTGATATCTATACTCCGTTCAATAAGGCATGGAATGAGACATTTGCCCGCTTGGGCTGGAACACTCACGCGCAGGGCGCAAAGTGGGACCCTTTACGCCGCCACTATCCGTTGACGGGAAAACAGGCCAACGAGGATATGCTGGCACTTACTACACCCAGGATGTCGCCGAGCGCAAAAGCCTGCATCTGCTCACTGAGACGATAGTAGAGCGAGTTATCCTGACGAAATCTGAAGGCGGCCAGGTGACTGCGACAGGAATTCAGATTCGGACCAAAGATGGACAGCGACTCAAAGTCGCTGCCACGCGTGAAGTCGTCATCAGTACTGGAACTCTAAATTCCCCACAACTCCTTGAGCTATCTGGTATTGGCGCAGCGGATCTGTTGCAAAAGCACAATATCCCTGTAGTGCTCGGCCTGCCTGCAGTCAGGGAAAATCTCCAGGATCATTGTATGTCAACCGTTAACTTCGAAGTGGCAGACGGACAGACGTCCGCAGACGTTGCGCGGGATCCCAAAGGTGATCCAGTCTCTGATGGAGCTCTGAGAAGACACGGACTGGTCCTATGACTGGCATTCCCGTTAGTGTGGCCTATCTACCCATGGTTGACCACGATGGATAAGTTCCCCGCGAGCAGATAGATAGTCTGTTGGCTCAGTATCTGGACAGCCCGCAGGCTAAACGAGTCTCACCCGGGAGGCAGCAGCAATACAACATCCTGCGGCAGATGCTTCGGGATGACCAGACAGGCTCCGCACAATACATGTTCCTCGGAGCACAACTCAATGCGAAGGAGGGGGTGAACACAATGAGCTATGTGCTGTCGAAGGACTTGCCCGAGAACTACATAAACATTTTGGTTTTACATAACCATCCCTTCTCACGGGGATCTATACATATGCAATCGCCAAACGCGGGCGATAAGCCTGTCTACGACCCCCAGTATTTATCGCACCCCTTAGATTTAGAGATCCTCGCCCGACACACTCAGTTCCTGGACAAGATTGCCCGTACTGAGCCTTTTAGCTCGCTACTCAAACCCGGCGCTCGGGTACCTCAGGCGGCGATCGATCTGGCAGATCTGGAGAAAGCTAAGGAGGTAGTTAAAGATCGTCTATTCCACTGCTTCCATCCAGTGGGCACATGCGCGATGATGCCTGTAGAGTTAGGCGAAGTAGTTGACACCCAGCTGAAGGTTCATGGCACACACAATTTACGAGTGGTCGATGCCAGCATCTTTCCCTTGGAACCGTCGGGTAATATTCAAGCCACGACATATGCAGTCGCCGAGCGCGCGGCGGACCTTATCCGTGCAGCTGCGCATCATTAGATTGAAGATCGGCGCCTGTGCCGTGGGGTCTTAAGGTTGTTGTGTTTAGAAGTCTCACTGGAATGTAGCCTTGCCCTATTTGTCAATGGATGTATTACGACGATCCACACTTGTAGAGAACCTCTTGTGCTCATTTAGCGGGGACCATATATAAATTGACCAAAAGTTCGTAAGTCATTGAGTAAGTTGTTTTCAATGATCTAGAAGTCTCAGAGCGTGGGCTCAGCTCCATCATGTGGCGCATCGGCATCCCACGGCTGTTTCCACGCAACCACTGCATTCCTCTGACTGGAATGTCGGTTAAAACATTATAATAAGATCGATGGGCTCAAGGGACTCTCCCATTGATTATGCCCTTCGGCTCTGTTGCCTGAAAATCAACTCACAATGCGAACACCATGGTGTGCCATCCTGGCGCTGCTTACCGGCGTCCAGGCCATCGATATGAAAGTAGAGGATCCTGGTGAGGCTCTTCAAACCCAGTGGGACTGAAACACTGCTGACACAGGGCAGAATCGGTGAAACAGGCGAGTTATGCGGTCGCTAATAATATGCTCTCTCACTACACTGGCATGAATCCAGGTACAGTGAATCTACGTTGCTATACGGTATGGACTTTCCAAGACTGACAAGAAGCGGCGGGCTTGGACCCGTGTTTGCTACATGTACAGGTGGCACGCCCGGAGTCTTACCTCCTCCGTATTATTGGTGGGAGGCCGGTGCCATGTTCAATGCTCTGATTGATTACTGGTATTACACGGGCGACGACAGGTGGAACGACATGATCATGCAGGCTATGATCTGGCAAGCAGGCGGCGATGGGACATTTATGCCTCCCAATCAGACACACGCCGAGGGCAACGATGACCAGGCCTTCTGGGCCTTTGCTGCCATGTCAGCCGCTGAACGAAACTTTCCCAATCCGCCAGAAGGGCAACCGGGGTGGTTGGCCATGGCTCAGGGGGTGTTCAACACCCAGGCCCCGCGATGGAACACTGAGACCTGCGGTGGAGGTTTGAGGTGGCAAATATTTAGCTTCAATAACGGATTCCATTACAAAAACACGATTGCCAACGGTTGCTTTTTCAACCTAGCCGCGCGCTTGGCAAGATACACAGGGAATCAAACATACGCCGACTGGGCCGTTCGAGTATGGGACTGGACGGAGTCGGTCGGCTTCATAACCGACGATTATCTGTTCTTGGATGGGGCGGACGAACTCAAAAATTGTACGGAGTTCAACTACCTTCAGTGGACGTACAACTCCGGGGTGTATCTGTTTGGTGCCGCGAGCATGTATAACCTGGTAAGTGTGTGTCTTGGTAATATGGCGAGAATTCGGGCTAACGAGTCAGACTGATGGCGACCCCATCTGGAAAGAACGAACGCAGCGCATCCTTGACGCCACGAAGGTGTACTTCAAAAACGACGTGCTGTACGAACGAGCCTGTGAGCCCATAAATACTTGCGGGGTGGATCAGCGGTCGTTCAAGGGGTACCTGGCCCGGTGGATGGCAGCATCCGCTCAAGTCGCTCCGTTTATCCTTGACCAAGTGATGCCCAAGCTACGCACCTCAGCAAGTGCAGCAGCTCGAACGTGCACCGGGGGTTCCGATCACGCCACGTGCGGTATGAAATGGACTTCAGGGCAATGGGACCAGAGTGACGACGTGGGCGTCCAGATGTCCGTATTGGAGGTGATGCAAGCGACCCTCGTGGGGAGCGTGGCTCCTCCGGTAACAGAGGACAACGGGGGTACCAGCAAGGGGAATCCTAGTGCCGGAACCGAGGCAACAGGCCCGCAACCCCATAGCCGCCGAATGAGTACCAGCACGGCCAATCGGGCTGGGGCAGGCATTCTCACGATACTTATGTCGATGCTGATCTTCTATACGGTTTGGTGGGGAATATACGAGTAGCACCTCACTGACTGCGCCGACTGTGAATATTTTGATGAGCCTTTCTGATGTTGACCATTCCCCTTTTAAAACGGTTTAAATATGAGTGAAATCTTTACTTCCCACCAAGCGTCGTAGTTACCGATACAAATCCGCGTAGCGACACCATTGGAGGAAAGGGTTTAAACTAAACGCGTCTTGGCGTGAACATTCGACCATGATTCGTAGCACTCGGAAATCCGGATATATACTCAACACAACCTTGTTCTGCAGACTATGCAGGACTCCACCTCACTGTGCGGGGAAGCTGGCGCCCAGTCGGACATGACGGCGATATTCCGCTGTGCAATGCAGCATATATGGCCCAGCACTCGCAATGCTGTCTTATGTTGTCATTGAAACGGAACGATATCAGGCCATCGTAATCCAATCGGATATTGTTCGTACAACACTCTGGTGATCATCACAATTTACAGCAAGAATGTCTGCCGAGGTGTCCTCTCATGATTTCCAGATTCCCTCCCACTGCAAGGCAGGCGTGGTCGTCAATGAAGGTCCAAACTTCGAGGTGAAGGTCGAGATGGTGCCGGTCCCGGAGCCAGGTAAGCTCTATGCCACACGAAAGGAAAAACAATACTAACAGTTTTTATTCCAGGTCCCGATGACATCCTGATCCGATTGAACGTCACTGGTATCTGCTCCTCAGACCTCCATATGATGCAAGGCGACCTAGGAACTCCACCGATGTCAACTTTTGGCGTTCGCTCTCCGGGTCACGAGGGTGCCGGGGTTGTAGTGAAAGTTGGCGCAAATGTGAAGAACTTCAAACTAGGCGACCGGGCGGGCATTAAACCACTTCTCGACACGTGCGGTGCGTGCGAGTTGTGCTGGGGAGATAAGGAGACGTATTGCCGTACCGCTATTCACGCTGGCTTGATGGCACCTGGTAGATCACCACCCCCCACCCCCCCCCCCCCCCCCTTTTCTAATAGCCTTATTCCATTGTTTCGCGAGGTCGGCCACTAACGGAATAGGGACCTATCAACAATATATTGTCTCTCCCGCCCGATATGCAACGCCCATCCCCGATGGTATTCCTGATGAGATTGCAGCCCCTATTATGTGCAGCGCATCCACCATCTATCGCTCTCTGACGGAATCCGGGCTGAAGCCAGGAAACTGGGCAGTGTTTCCTGGCGGTGGGGGTGGGGTGGGTATTCAGGGCGTGCAGCTTGCTAAGGCGATGGGTATGCGTCCAGTTGTCGTGGACGCAGGTGAATCGAAGAGGGCATTGGCTTTGGAGATGGGCGCAGAAGTCTTCATCGATTTCATCGAAACGTCCGATCCTGCCGCAGCTGTAATAAAGGCAACAGATGGTGTAGGGGCACATGGAGTATTCGTCACAGCTCCTGCGGCCTACCGAACAGCGTTATCATACGTGGGTAACCGCATTGGAGCGGTTGTCATGTGTATTGGGCTGGGTCCGACGGGCGCAATGACTATCGGGGATGATCCCAATGCTTTTATCTTCAAGAATCTGACGGTCAAGGGGACCTTGGTAGGCAGTCGACAGGATACGATAGCGGCATTGGACTTTGCTCGGCGGGGCAAGCTTCGACAAATTTGCGAGGTCTATCCGATTGACCGATTGCCTGAAGCAGTAGAGAAGCTGCGAAAGGGACAGGCCACGGGACGAATGGCGGTTGACTTCAACAAGTAAATCGCATAGATGGAAACAAACCATGGGAAGAGATGCCGAGGCGGTCAGTGGAGTATTGCCGTCATCCTCATATTCGTGGCCTTAGGCAGAGATATTCCCAACTAGTTCCTGACTGATTTATTTTCATCTTGCAACATATAATTCTAAATGATGCGATTGTTTGCTTGTTGGTTCGGTTTGCTGAGGGGTCGATTTAGCGGGGACCTTTCTTTCCTTTTTCATAGTAGTGCGTATTTAACTGAAATTGTCAGTACTAATTTGTTGTTGCTATATATATTTAGTCCAGTTTATTTGTCTTAACACAACACAGCATATATACATCGCCCTACTATTAGCTCCATATTATCTTTACTACACCAACACATCTCATTAGGAATATAACCTTGAGCCTGTACTGACAGGTCTGAGGACTCCCTTCTTCTCGAGTCCCGCGACCAAGGAAGCCAGGACATGGTCACATCCTCGCGCCATCTGCAGCGCAACACTCACCGGTAAATACTCGGTCTGCAAAGAGATAGTACTGTTGTATGGAGACTCTCCCACAGGGACAACAACCTCAGGTGCGCCACCGAATACCGCGATGCGCCCGATGAAGAATCCTACTGGTGGTGTTGTGGGCGCATCATAGTATTGGTTACGATAGTCGGTCGTGCCGACCGAGTACACACTGACGAAGAGCGACTTGGAGCAAGAGGCCTCATCGGACTGACCATATCCGGACTTTTCCCACCAGTTTCGGAAAGTAGTCATGTTGCGTAGGGCTACCTCGTATGAGGCGTTTCCGCCATTGTCCTGCCCCCACTGCCAACGTGCCAATGGGCCAGGGTTGATGAAAGGCTGGCGACCACGGTGATGTGCTTTGTAGTCTGCAAAGAGAGGGACGGCTAGGTGGTTGAACTGGCCCACAGAAGTGAGTGTGGCGTAGGTCAGGTTGAGCATCTCTTCCAGGCTGGGTGTGGCAGAGGATTGTGTGTCAAGCCATCGCTGCGACACGTCGACTTTGGTATGGTTGGTTTCGAGGAATGCCTCAAGACCACGTATGAATGTGGTAAGACTTCGATGGGCTTCGGGAGTGATGCCTTTACCATCCCATCCACCACCGGCCACGAGCAGCTGCCGGGGGTAGGACGTAAAATTGTGCCGGAGATGAGGATACCAAGCTTGCACAGTATGGGCCCATAGCGAGCCATTTCGGGCGAAGACGCCCGCTGTATCCAGCGGCGGTGAGAGGGGCAAGACATGATCTAGAGAGATAGCACCAGTGGATGGCCTGTTGCCGTAAACCCCTTGAACTGCAGCTGGAGAACGCATTGAACCGCCAGTGTCACTACCAACAGTAAGGTCCAACCAGTCATACGCTGCAATGGCCGCACCTGAGCCGGAGGAGGAGCCGCTAGGCGCCTGATATCCATCTCCACGTGGATTGAAGGGACAGTGAAAGTCCACCCAGTCGGCAGTAGGCCGATCACCGTTAGCAAACTGAACAGTGCCGGTTTTACCGACGAAAACGGCTCCCAAGTCTAAGAGTCTCTGAATAGATGGGGCAGTATCATTTTGAGTTCCATATAGATAATAATAGGAGCGACTTCCGCCACTCGTCTTGAGACCCTTAACATGGTAAATATCCTTGACACCCAATCTTAGACCGGCCAATGGCTTCTCTGAAGTTGGTGTATAATAGAGACGTGAAGGCACGGCGACGTCCTTGGTCATCGCATTTTCTGTCACGGCTGGGAGGGGAAGCACACCTCCCTTCTCGTCACTGATTGCGGCTTGGATGAAAGCTAGGTTGTCGTCAGGATACAGCCGGTACGCCCTAAACACATGTCCGGTATACAAGGAGACAAAATAGGGCCCACTCGGCAGCTCCTCCGTCAGCTGGGCGGTGATTATGGAATTCGACGAAGCAGTGTGTATATCCGAATTCACCAGCAGCAATTCAGTGCCTGAAGGTTTGAGGATTGACGCATAGTTACTCAGTTGGGAGTCAACGAGTTCAGCAGTGGAAGCTGTGAGATAGACTGCACGGAGGAAAGTAGGCTGGAAGACATCATCACGCTCAACATAGTCCGATAGCAGCGATTCCAAGTCCGTATCAGAAGTTACACGAATGACAGTTAATGGTACCAAATCTATTCCCTCTGTCAAAGAGGAGGCATATGCAGAGGCATTGTACCCTTGCAAAGCTGACACAGGAATGCCGCTCACATAATACGGAATTTCATTGAGAGACAGCGTCTGGCCATTGGGGACGGCAGCCCCGGTAACGACCGCCGCCAGCGAGAGGAGTGTACCAAGAAACATGAAGAATTAAATCTGTCATCTTCATTTCGAATGGCGCCGATCTTCCTTTTTATATCATAGTGAGGGTTTGGCATTAGTCACAAGCACGATGCTCGAGATAGGCAACTCTTAATAGTCTGATAACATTCTTATCGTGGCTGTGATAGCCCGACGCCAAGTAGGATCTAATCGTCTTGGCTGACTCCATCTATGATCTAGTGTCGGCATATCGTTCAATCATATTGATTGGGACATCCTAATGTTCCCGCGGGGTTCCTGTTACCCTTGTTATCGTCCGCTGTTCTCTCGGTAGATATAGCCGATAATTGATTTCAAAGCGAAACCACGTTCTCCGGTCTTCGGATACTCCCCATGGTAAAACTGCCCTCTTGGTGCCTTTTCCATGGCATTTTGTTATTCCGTTGAGTTGTCAAGCAAAGTAAAATAAGAATATGACACGGGGTATTGAAGGAATTATTGTAGGGAGTGGAATGTTTTGACTCTATTGGAGACATAAGCTCGTGAAAAGTGCTACCGTTCTTTGACCCATGCTGGCTTAGATGATGTAACTCTCCAGTGCAACATCCTTGAAGCGTTCCTTTTCCTTTCGTAAGAATAAAATGGTCGTGGTGCTCAATTCTGAAGGCATGGGCTTCGGCCATCCATCATAGGGCTTCGAGGTGTTTGTATAACATGTCTGTCATCCAGGAGCACAAGAAGAAGAATTGGGAGGGGCTTTAAGATAATTGTGAAGTGAGCTTCGGCATAAGCAAGGCTTTTCTTTGTATGATGATGGGCACCTATTTTGAAGGCAACGTGACCGCGGTAATATCTAGTGAATGGCAGGTGAGATAGGGGATATACCTGCTTTCTTCATTCCTAATTTTTCTTTTATATAGTTATTCCCGCAAACAGAGGCATGACTGGTAGTTCTTTGCGATGACGTTCTCATATATGATTGTGCGCAGAATTCACCCACTGTATAAATCCCGGAATGAGTGTGTGTGGTATTTGAATAATCTTCCATGCTTTAGAAATCCTGAGGGGAAGGACTATAATGAAGCTTACATTGTGATATCGGCTTGAGAAAAGAAAAAGAAATTCCAACCCTGCTAAGGTTATGGATAATCCATGGCACACTAATCGTTCATTTCAGACAACCCTTTCAACCTCGCAGATCAAGCCCGATAGACTTTTGTTCCTCCTTAATCGAATCCATGATAATGTCAAGATTCTTCTCGGTGGTTTCCCATTCATTCTCTATAATTCTGCGAGCATCCTCATTGCGTAGCTCAAATACTGCTTCAAACGGCGCCGGCGCGGATACGAATGCCGAACCGAAATCCATATCATCCACAGTTTTCGGTTTACCATCCGCTCCAATTGGTGGTTGTACATCAAATCCCCAAAGAATGCGCGCCACAAGCACGAACAGGGAGTTCCGCGCAATATGCCTTCCAGTGCAGACCCGCCGCCCGTATCCGAAGAAGTTGGTGAATCGGTCATTATCGGACCCTGCTAGCCATCGCTCTGGGCGGAACTCGAGCGGGTTGTCAAATTGGTGTTCATCAAGACTCATAGACCAATGTAAGGGGACTATCGTTGCGTCCTTAGGAATCCGGTAGCCCATATACGTGTCCTCCTGCCTAGCAGCATGCGGCACTCCCCCGGGCACAATGGACCGCCAACGGAGAGTCTCTTCCACCACTGCACAGATGTATGGCAAATTATCCTTGTCTGATAATGTTGGGAGACGGTCAGTACCGACTACGTGATCGATCTCACGTTGAGCTACGGAGATGAAGCGCGGATACGACTGAGTCGCAAGGATGAAGATCTTCATGACAGTCGAGGTCGTCTCGAGGCCGGCCTCTGTCAGGATGCCAAGATCGTACGCAAGCTCCAATGGCGGCATTAGCTGCCCTTGCTTCGAAACAGAGAATTCCTTAGACCAGTTCCATGCGCGACTCTTCAGACCTTTATTCATGTTCCGCATATGGAGGCTCGACTCGATCTGAAACAATTCTTCACCAATCCGCTTCCACGGCGCCAAAAACATTGGCAAGGAATTAAGCATAGGGATCGCATCCACAGCCCAGGTTCCAACACGAGACGCATATGTGAAGTTATGCAGGATGCGACGCGCATCTTCCACATCTTGTTCATTCCCTGTCTTTACACGAAATCCATATGTCAAGGAGTAAAGCAGACTGATGCTATATCGCTCCAGGTGAAGAGAGAAGTCATTGGACGAGAGCAGCTCGTGCAAAAGCTGCTTGCTCTCCAAATCCTGAATTGGGTAATAGGTGGAAGACGCCCGCGGACTAAGCACGGGGGCCTCCATGCGCTGATGCAGTCGGAAACGGTCATCGTATTGCCGCAGCAAAATATGCATACCTTTCACGAGGTTATCGTCGGCCATGACCAGTTTGGGTCGATTGCTGTACAGGCTGCCTCGCTTATCAAGCAGGTCTCGGGCAATCGTGGTGTCTGCGATCAATATAATGGTCTGTCGCCCGAACTGTGCGCTCATGATTGGACCATATTTCTTGCTCCATTGATGGAAGGTGCGCCAAGGCAGAACTTGTGGCACCTGGTGAATATTCCCGATGAAGGGTAGACGTTTTGGGCCAGGAGGGAGACGACGGTCGCGATAATATTCATATAAGAGACGAAGGACCAACAACGCAAGAAAGCTGTTCAGTATGCCAAACTCCATTCTAGTGTCTTAGATCAGCTTCTCCCGGGTAAGAATATTGTGAACGAAAACTTTTCGAACTCTGCACTGGAGCAGCTGAGGAGGAGATTGATTTATGACTTCGCTTTCGCTTCCACCAGTGAGGAAGGATATTATCGTAAGCCATATTGTTGGTTCATTCCTAGGTTGCCCCTCAAGATCTTCAGTGTGAAGAGCGCTTTGGCCTTTCATGAATTGTAGCTGATATCCAAACAGCGGCGACCGATCGGCAATTGTCACCATCGCTTAACCCTCACGGCACTTGCTGCATCTAGAACTAATGAAATGCGACTATCTTAGATCCACATTGAAAGCTGCATAATCGTCACGGCAATCTGAGTGGTCCATCGTGAAGAACTGAAGGTTGGGGCGAATTTAGTCCGTTTGGACTTGCATTAGTTCTTTTGTGGCGGGCTGAGAGTTGACGTAGGGAAGGCGACACGACTATAGCTGCCTCTTCACGACGAGTATAGGGAGGGATTTCCCGAAGTAGACCATTCTCAGCATAACGTTAGCTGACCCTCACGGTCACATTGTTACGACTAGAATAATGCACATCGTGATACAATGGGCCATAGGATTATCATACCATACCCCATAGGACTGATTTCTACGGATTTACCAAGAGCTCTCTAACAAGCAACCGGCCAACTTCCCTAACCGTCCCGTATTATCTCGTGGATCGGGCTGTAAGTAGAGCCCTCCTATCGAAAGTATGACATTCCCTTCTCAACTACTTCAAGACAAACATGAACTTCCCTGAAGAGTGGACATATGACCCCAGGGAGGTCGCTTATAACCTCGTATGGCTTAGTCATGATAGCGAAGGATATGGCCTGCTGTCCTATCTAACGTCTGCTGATCATTAAACCCTAGGGATGCCGTAGTCAAGTCATTAATTGTCCTAATATATATAAGTATCCGTTACCAAACGATATGTATCCTGAATCACACATCTACACAGTCAAGCGCAAGGGTCTAGATAAATCGGAGCCGTTTCGCAGTGATCAAACCCAGAAAGATCAATCCCAAAATCACACCTAAGATACCGTACCACCAATTGATTGGTGGGGATTCCACGTCCTCCGGAGTGTTGCCCGGGACAGTTACATTCATACCAAAGAGACCGATGAGAAACTGCATTGGCACAATGATCCCGCCAATGACCGTCAGCCGGCTAAGAGTCGCCGCAATGTCATTTCGCATGCGCGTCGAATCGAACGCCAACTGACTCAGATATTTCTCCTGTGCCCGTGACAGCATCTGCTCCGCATTGTACAGATCGGCCATCATGGAAAGCACGTGGTCACGGATGTCACCGAGATAGAGAGTGACATCCATGGTTGAGGGACCAAACGAACCGCAGTGGCGATCGAAGCAGCGGATGACGTCGGTCTTGTCGTTCATCAGTTGGCGAATTTGCAAGACTTCTCTACGATATCGGTGAATCCGGTGAAGTGCTAGACCGATGTCATCCGGTCGGGTTATGGAAACATCATCTTCGATCAATTCAACACCGGCTTGGATGCGATTGATAAAAGGCGCGAAGCCGTCAACGATGTCATCGCTGGGGGGGGATTAGCATGTTAAGCCAGAGGTTTGAGTCACAATTAGATGCACATACATGAGGGCATAGGAGATCCAGTCACTGGTCAGTGCTAGATGGCTCCGGTGCTCCTTGATCCGATTTCGGACATGACCCCCGTGGGGACTGTTGCCGAAATTGAAGCTGAGGACACCCTCACGGAAAACGATAGCATACACGTTGGGAGAAGAAGATCGGGTGCCATCGACCGCCTCCACTTGCCGGGCCGGCTGCAGGGAAAGAAAGTAATACCGACCGAACAATTCGATCTTCTCTCGCGACTCACGCACTTTGATATCCTCGGTCGTCAGCGGATGGACGTCAAAGATCTGCGAGAGTGTTTCGATGTCATCATCCGAAGGGCAGGTTACATCGAGCCACCATAGCCCAGAATGTTCCGTGGTGTCTAGCAGCGTTTCAAAGGGCTTATAGAACGACCGCAAGGACTGGATCGTGGACGCATGGATAACAGAATCCAACTGCGATGTAAAGAAGCTGAACTGTGTCGCAGGAGCAGCCCCTCTATCATCATAGAAAGACATCTTGCGGTCTTTGAATTCATCAACTTCATCGGGTCCACTGGCGTCGGGCCCCGAGACTGAAGGGTCATCTATACATGGGCTGACATCTAGGCGCTCACCAGGAGCGCCGTCCAGGTGGATGTCTGCCACCACACCCATGTTTACTCAAGAGGCAACGAAGCTTGTACAGGTGAGCATGTGAGCTGTAAATTCACCGATAGGCCGTACACCATCCTGACGTGTCTTGCAATGGGTGGTTGAAAACCAAAAAATGTCGGACCAAACGGGGCAGAATATGTGGGATAAAAACGTTATGTTAGGGGATGAGCCAATCTGTCACCGCTGTTGTGTTTCTTTCTGCCGGCAGAATACAAGCCTGAGCTAAGCCTGCAGATGCAGGGCGTTGGACGGACTCTCAGTGGTTGATTGCGTGTAGCGGTGAGGGTTACGGGGCTGTGTTGATGCCAAGAGCATGACGTGAAAAGTTTTCGCTATAACCAGACGATCATTGGGTCAAAGTAAATGCTCGTAGTGGAGTTACATCGCCCATTGTAACATTGTCATCTTGCGACCCATTCGAGTCTATTGAACCTAGAATCTTTTGAGTTCAATCCTTCAGCTTTCAAGGGCTTGTCGCAACCCGTGACACCCCATGTGCCCCTCCTGGCATGCAGCCTGAGGCATACACAAACTCCCGCCAGAAGCAGTCTAGCTCCTTCGCCCGTTTACCAATCAACTTCGTTATCAAAAAAAGAACTGCTCGGATATCGACATCATTTCCAACGGAATGAGATAGCGATCAGACCCTGCATATCCGCGGGGTGATCCTTCTCATTTCTACCCTGGTCAAGTATGTGGGGAATTAAAGACCCAGAAAGAAAGTTACTGGCGAAGATTGACTTCTTCATTTTATCATTCTGCTGCGTGACATATTTCTTCAACTACTTAGACCGCTCCAATCTATCCAATGCCTATGTCTCGGGCATGAAAGAAGAGTTGGCCTTCCATGGCAACCAACTCAATGTGATCAATACTGTCTTTACGGTGGGATATATCATAGGCCAGGTCCCATCCAACTTGGCCTTGACGTACTTCCGCCCGCGGATCTTCTTCCCTGCCATGGTCCTATTTTGGGGTGCCTTGACTATGGTAACCGCTGCCGTACATAATCCCCAAGGCATCATGGCCATTCGATTCTTTCTCGGACTGGCCGAAGCTAGCACCTTCTCGGGAACTCATTATATACTCGGTTCATGGTATACTGAGCGGGAACTGGGCAAACGCAGCGGTATCTTCACAGCTTCGGGGCTCGCGGGAACAATGTTCGGTGGGTTCATTCAAACCGGCATTCATTCCTCCCTGGACGGTATCAGGGGCCTATCGGGGTGGCGATGGCTCTTTATCGTAAGTACCGTGGCTTGCACCTCATGACACGGAAAGCATGTTAACATCAATCAGATCGATGGCTTAATCACCCTCCCCATAGCCATCTATGGCCTACTATTATTCCCCGACACGCCAACCACCACAACAGCTCCCTACCTAACAGCAGCAGAAAAGGAGCTGGCAGTGTCACGTTTGCCCACAGTCAATGCCAACCGTGCACCCGTGAACCGCGCCTTTCTCAAACGACTCTTCACCACATGGTACTGGTGGGGATTCGTCATCCTATGGGTCATTGCCGGAGAGACAGAATCCTTCTCCTCGAACTCTCTCTTAGCCTTGTATATGAAAGCCCACCCTACAATCCACTATTCCGTGTCCCAGTTAAACAACTACCCGACCGGTGTCCCAGCCGTCGGCATTGTCTCGACTCTCTTCTGGGCCACGCTCACAGATATCCTCCAAGGGAAGCGATACCTAGTCAGCTACTTCATCGGCATCACCGGTGTGGTTACTTCAGTCTTAATCCTGACCCGCTTTGACTCAACAGCAACCGTGTTTGGGGCGTACTACTGGGCCGGAGCTGTGTATGCATGCCAGGCTACGTTCTTCGCCTGGTGTAATGATGCGATGCGATCGCAAGATGCACGGCAGCGGTCGGTGGTGATCGCCAGCATGAATATGGGCAATAATGCCGTCAATGCCTGGTGGAGTATTATTTTCTATTCGGCCAATCTAGCGCCACGGTTCACGCGGGGGATGTGGGCGATGATCGGCTGCTCGATTGCGTTGGTTCTCTGGACGACGGGGATCGTATGGAGGACAGTAAAGGAGGAGAGACAAGCGGTTAGGATAGAAGAGCCAGAGACGGTGGATATTAAGGACAATTGAAACTCAAATGTTTTACTCAATATCAAATACCGTTCATGATGCGAACATAAACCTACGGCGTATCTAATGTCTTATTGAGGGATCTAAAAATCTATCTGTACCTTTCTATCTATGCAGTTTCGCCGGAACCACTGCTGGATGCAACCCACTTAGCCCTCTGAATGACATCCTCCCAAATTGGTGGCCTCTCACGCAAGTCTGCCCCGAGCTCCTCGGCCTCCAATCCCCACTGCAACAACTGCTCTTCGCTACCCCATTCTCCATTCCCCATTAGCCCCACCGGAACCGTTCCCTCGTTACTATGATTACCCTCGGGATCGGCATATCCCGCCGGAACACTAATCGCAGGAATACCAGTAAAGTTCGCTAGCCATACATACTCCATGGCCTTCAGTGTGCGGTCCCCATCACTAAGTCCCCATTTCAACTCCGACTTGGATACAACGGGCCAACCCGCACACGCAGTAGTAGGAGTCACGATGATCATGCCAGGGAATTCTTCCCAGAGGGCAGCAAGATGCTGCATCAGAAGCCGACGAAGCTTCTGTGCGAGAAGGTAATCAGTAGCGGGAGTCGTACGGCCTAGAGTCAGGAGAATGCGATTCGGAGCCGTGATATTGGTGGTATCGGGGAGAAGAGCCGCAGCATCAGCTAAGATGGTCATGGCGTGGGCTGTCTGGCCCTCGACGAGGAAGGGGATATCAATTGGAACAATGGTGTAATCTTTCTCGGTGACAAGCTTGTCCAGCAGGGAGCGGCAGAGACGTTGGACGTCCGGGGTCGCTCGGGAGAACCATATCTCTGGGATACCAAGGATCTTCTTTTCTCTAGTGGACGGGGACAGTGAGAGCGGACCTGGGGCTGGGAATGGTGTATCTGGACCTGGCGTGGCGAAAACGTGATACGCTTCAGCGAGAGAGCGAATGTCTGCAGCGAGTGGCCCAATCACACTGGTGGTACTGGCGTAGTTGACGCTTGGATAATGCGAAAGTCGGTTGTGAGTCGGCTTTAACCCCACCACGGAGCAGAACGACGATGGGATACGGACACTTCCTCCACCATCTGTGCCTAGAGCGATGGGGACTAAGCCCGTGCTAACGGCGTATGCACATCCGGAGGAACTTCCGCCGGTGTAGTAGTCCGGGTGATATGGGTTTGGCGGAGTGCCGTAGTGAATATTGTTTCCAGTGGTATCT